TCACAGTGATTATTTAAGCTTTGCCCCTGAATTACGAAATGTGTCGGCGGAATCGCAAGTTACATTTGCCTGGGGCGCAATTCTTGCCGGGGTGGTGCCTTAGAGTGAAATCTTATGCACCCGTAGACTCGGTCACCCCCCTGAAATTCTACCGTCATCCCTAGTACTAGAAATGGTACCGTATTGTCATGGGCGGTTGTGCTGAGCAAGCATTCAATGGTGATCAAAAGCCGAGAAAATTGACGTCATATCTTGTCTGAGCTGAGAAGGAGCTCTTCCAATTTGTACTCCCAGCGAAATGCATCGGCTAGAGCGGCCAGGGCTGACCCCTAGCGCATATTGATCTTACAGATCTGCATCTGGGAGCTAATCAAAGCAGACTTGAGTTTGTCTGCTTTCAGCAAATGTCTTGAAGCACTAAAAAAAGATCTCGTGTGCAGGGTTCAACAGACTTGTGGAGCACACTATTCCCTAGATCTGCTCAGTGTTCCGTGGTCTTGCAAGGAAGGGGTATTTTTGCACTCAAGGCACTCAAGGATCCGTCCTTCAAATGAAGGTAGCTTTTTGTGTCAGCTGACCTCTGAGATCTGCTCTTCTTTGAGGAGACCATGGCTTCCAAAGACCTGCTTGCAGCTGGAAAGAAGCGGGTAGGTTTTCTGTGCCACCACTCCTTTTATAAGGTATTAACTTCATATTGCTTGCAGCTTCTTGAAAGAGGTCTAACACTTGGGATCTCACTCATGCCTTGATCGATGCATTCGCCATCTGGCAGAGGCTCATATCAGGAACATTTCTTGTCAGTGATGGATTTGAATCATGATGCACGAAATTCAAGCTCCATGATGCAGCAAAGTTAATAATCTGGGGATCTGTGGAGGGCTCACAAGCAATGGAACACCCTCATGGTCGCTCATGATCCAATCGAACCACAGCACTTATTGATACTCATATCAATCTGCGTCAGACCTGTCCCTTTGCAATATCAGAAACAGAGGTCTTGTCAAACCTAGTAGCTCACCCAGTTTCTGTAAAGACCTACTTCCATCTTAGATCCTTTTCTTACATCACTTGCAGCTCGAACAGTTCCGGCAAAACAAGACGGGAGCAAAGACGCCGGTGGCAAGCAAGGCGCAGAAACCCGGGTTTAGCTTTGGGTTAGGTCGACGGGCCACCAAGCCAGAGCCGGCAGAAGAAGCAGCAGCCGGTGAAGTCCCAGATGCTGGAGACGTTTCTGCTGACCTAGCAGGGGATGCAAGCAACTCTGCAGCGACTGAGACGGCGAAGGATCAGGGGTTGGACTCAGAGCAAGAAGAGGATGTATTCGAGGTGGGGTTCATTGCCTTCGTTTGCTTCTTGACGCAACTGCTGATTTGCAGTAGTGCTGGAAAGCAAATGCTTGCAGATTGAGTGGCGCGCGGGGCTGCTAAAAGATGTGGGAGGAGAAAAACCTCCGGAAATATGAAAGCTCACTTCTGAAGTTTCGGGTCGGATGCCCATCCTTAAAAATACATCTTTGCCAAAGGCCATTGCGCTCCCCTACATTATAACCTGACGTGTTGCAGCATCATACTGTCCATTGTGTTGCATCAACCAATGGTGCGTTGAATGCTCCCTAGAGGGAGATTGTGTTTGAGAATCTCTTTATCCCTTCCATTTCCTTTGCAGGATGCTCGGAGCACCGGGAACCTTACAGATGGCGCTTCCACTGACGATGAGCAGTCGACCCCAAGGACCCCCCCACTGCGAAGGGTGCCGGCGCCTTTCCCAGAGAACCGCTTCAACTTCTTTGCCAACGACACGTCGAGGTTTGCGGTGGGTGTCTGAAAGCCTGACTTTTTGACCTGCAGTGTTTTCAGTGCAGTCAGAGGTTGGCATCTGCTGTGGACACTGATTTTGAAGTTCAAAAGCTCTGGTGGCAACTGGTTTGAAGGGCGCAGCTCTATTTGGAAAGAGGTGTTATAGGGATTTTTGCTATAGCTGGGAGCCCGGAACTCACATTAATGCTAAAGTCTGTTTTCCATCTCATCTTTCTGGCCCTCTCCAAACATCTGATTACATTCTTCCTGTGCTCTTCCCGTTGGTTGCGCGATTCATCAGTCGCTGTATTGTTTCTGCAGACATCTCGGCTTCGCACACAGGAGAATGGTCAGCCAGGCAGCGCCCCTCCACCAGCCCTAGATGTCCAGCCCAAATCCCCTGAGACTGCGGAGCATAGCCGTTTGAAAGAGCAGGCTCTCTCCCTTCAGCAGCGGCTCTCTCTCATTGGGAGCCCGTCCTCCTCACCCACCCCAGTCGAGAATCAGGTCAAAGAAGAGCTCAGGAAGAAGTCTGAACGAATCAAGATTCTGGAAGAGGAGAGAGAGGCACTGCAGGCAAACCGGCGGGAGAGCCGGGGAAGCGACGCCGCGCGCAGGGGGGAGAACGCGAGCAGGATCGCAGATCTGGTGGAGAAACACGGGGCTGAGGTGGCGGAGCTGAAGCTGTCGCTACGGGACAAGGAGCGAGAACTAGGCGTGCTGCAAAGCGAGCGCGAGGAGGCGCGGACCCACTTTGCCGAGTTCCAACAGGCGCTGACGCAGCGGGACGAAACAATCTCGGAGCTTCAGAAGAAGGTGCGCGAGGCGGGGAACAGTATGGAGATTGAGGAACTCGGCGAGAAGTTGCGTGCGTGCGAGGGGGCGCGCGCGCTTGCAGAGGAGCGCGCCGAGGGCCTGGCCAAGCAACTAGAGCTGGCGCAGAACTTGAGCGTGGGCAATGAGGAAAGCAGCCTGAAGGCGGCCTCGGAGGAAGTCAAGCGCTGCCTCGAAGAGGTCGCCGCAGCGAAAGAAGCAGAGCGGAAGGCCGAGGCGAGAGCCGCAGAGACAGAGCGCCAGGTGGCGACGCTCCAGGCCGCGCTGTCCGGAAAAGACGACGAACTGTCCGCTGTCCGGCTGGAGAAGGACAACGAGCTGGAGCGGTCGCGGTTCACGGTTCAGTCTTTGCAGTTCCAGATCTCATCAGCAGAGCAGGTTCTGGCGCCGCGAAAGCAGGCGGGAACGGAGTCCTTCTCGCTTGTGTCGGAGGTCACGGCGCTGCTGTCGGAGCTGGAGCATGCGCGGGCAGGGGTGGCTACGCTGCAGAGCCAGCTGGCGGCGCTAGAACAGGAGGTGCAGTTCCTGAGGACGCAGGCGGCGCAGGGGGAACTCGCGGTGCAGCAGGTTGCGGCGCTCCAGGCGGATCTGGCGCAACGGGAGGAGCAGCTTCGGAAGACCAAGGAGAAGCTGCGAACCGCGGTGGCCAAGGGAAAGGACGTGGTTCGCGAGCGGCAGAGCCTCGTGGAAGCGTCGGAAACCCTGCAGGCGCGAGTGGCGGAGCTGGAAACGGAGGTTGCAAGCAAGGGGGTCGTTGTGGAAGAGCAGAAGGCAAAGCTTGCGGAACTAGAGGCGGGGGCTGCGAGCAACGGGGCCATCGCAGAAGAGCAGAAGGGGAGGCTTGGGGAACTAGAGGCGGAGGTCGCAGCTCTCAGGAGTGCGCCTGATGAGCAGCGAGTGAAAGCAGAGGAGCTAGAGAGGGCACTCAGTGCTGCGCAGGATAAGGAGAGCGCGGCGTCGATTGAGGTTGAAGCGGTGCGGGTCAGAGTTTCTGAGCTGGAGGAAGCAAGCAGCAGGTTGGAGGTGGACAGAGAAGGACTAGTTGGGGAGAAGGAAGCGCTTGAGGCCGAGTTGGTGGCGTTGCGGAAAGAGGTGAAGAGCGTCGAGGCGGAAGCCCAGAACGTGTGTTCGGCAAAGGAGGCGCTAGAGGCCCGCGCAGGGGAGGCGGAGAGTGCCGTGGCTGTGATGTCAGCACGCGCAGAGGGGGCCGAAGAAGCTGTGCGGTTGTTGAAAGAAGATTTGGCTGGGGTTCAAGCCAAGAAGAAGGCGCTAGAAGAGGAAATGGGAACGGCCAGGGGGCGTGCGGAAGAAGCGGAGAGGGCTCTGGAGGAACTACGGGTACGGAGCGAAAAGGAGGGGGAGCAGCGGGTGACGGTAGCGGAACAGAGGGCGGAGGAAGCGAAGGGGATGCTGGAGTCGAAAGAGGGGGAGCTGCAGGTTGCACTAGAGGAAGTGGCGAGCGTAAAGGCGGAGCTTTTAGAAGCGGGGTCGAAAGCAGAAGAAGGGGAGAGAAAAGTTGGGGAGCTCGAGGCTGCCTTGGCAAGGGCGTCTGAGGAGACGGCAAAGGGAAGGGCACAGCTGGAAGGAGTCACAGCGGAGCTGAATGCAGCCAAAGAAGAAGCGAACGCCACCCGTGCTCAAGGGGAAGAGGCAAGGACGGGGGCGTTGAAAGAGATGGCAGAGAAAGAAGAGGAATTGGGAAAGGCTCTGGCTCAAGTTGAGAGCCAGTATGCGGCAGCGACCGCAGAGGCGGAGGAGATGAAGCTGCGTCTGACCACGCTCGAGAAGGAGTGCGGGGACGCAAAAGCAGCTTTGGCCGAGTCTCAGGCGGTTGCCGAGTCCAAAGACGCCGCGGTGAAGTCTCTCGAGGAGAAGGTGAGTGAGTTGACGCGGTCTCAGGAGGAGAGGACGGGCCAGCTTGCCGCGCTCGAAGCGGAGCTAGTGTCTGTGAAGGAGAAAGAAGCGGAGGCGGTTGCGAAGCTGGAGGCGGCCAGCAACGCAGTGAAGAAGGTCGGGGGCAAGAACAAGAAGGGCGGGGATCGGGCGCTGAGTCCCATGGGGTTGGAAAGAAGGCTGGTTTCGCTGCAGGAGTCGGCGGATCGAGTGGAGGGCCTTGCTGATGAAGTGGTAAGACTGAAACAGCAGTTGGAGGAAGTGGGAGTGGCTCAAGACAAGGCCTCAGAGGAGTTGGCTGGGGTGCGGAAGGATAAAGAAAAGGCGGAGAAGACCGCAAAGTCTGCGAAGGCGCTGTTTGAGACGGTTAGGGAGCAATTAGAGGCCAAGTCGGCGGAGCTGACGGCGCTGCAGGAGAGGTTTGAAACTAGAGAGGGGAGCATTCTGGCCTTGGAGGAGGAATTCTCGGGTCAGGCCGCAGAAGTCGACCAGTTACGGACGGAGTGTCAGAGGTTGGAGAACGAGTTGAGTGGGGCAAGAACTAGAGAGGAAAAGTTTGGGGCGGATCTGGCTGAGGTTCGGAAAGAGGCCGACCAAGCGAAGGAACAAGAGGCTGCGGTGAAGGAGAAGTTGGAGGAGATGCGGAAGAAAGTGCAGAAGAAAATGGCGGAGACGAAGGCAAAGAGGGAGGAGCTGGAGGGGAAGATTAAGGAGCAAGGGGAGACCATTGGGGAACTAGAGCGGGGTGTGGCGGAAGCTGCCGGCAAAGCAGGGGAAGTGGCGCGCCTTGAGGAACAGGTGGCGGCCGCTGAGGCGAGGATTACGGAGCTAACCCAAGAGGTCGAGTCTGCAGAGGCACTGCGGAGGAAGAGTGAGGCAAGGGTTAATGAGCTAACCCAGGACGTCCAGTCTGCAGAGGCACTACGGAAGGAGAGTGAGGTGAGGCTTAAGGAGCTAACCCAGGAGGTCGAGTCTGCAGAGGCGCTGCGGAAGGAGAGTGAGGCGAGGGTTAAGGAGCTAACCGAAGAGGTCGACTCTGCTTCAAAGCTGCGGAGAGAGGCGGAGGAGCGGGTTGAGGGCCTAACCCAGGAGTTAGCGGCCAAGGAGCAGGAAGTTGAGGAGAAGGTTAAGGGCCTAAGCGAGGGGCTCGCAGAGAAAGAGCGGCTACTGAACGAGGCCCTGGTGGAGGCAGAGACGGAGCGGGAAACTAGGCGTGCGATTGAAGCGTCGGTGGAGGAAGGGAGAGCCGAGCTTGCGGCACAGACGGAAGCACAGGAGGCGGCCGTTGAGAGGATTGCAGCGCTTGAGAAAGAGGTGGGGGCAATGAAAGAGGCGGCAGCCGCCCGCGAGAAGGTGCTATCGCAAGCGCAGGTGAGATAGACCCGTCTTGCGCTCAAGGCTTTCAGTACGAGGTGTCCATTTCTTTGTTTGACCGGCGGCTGCTTGAGTAGCATTAGCAGTCTGCGGAAGACTCGGAGGGGCAACAGAAACGTCACATCCTTCGCTGGGGAATACTTGGAGAGGCGACGGATTCTACAAATGACTCGTCACAAGCCTGTCCGTCAAACCCAACTCATGCACATGATTATCCAAGCACAGGTTGCTCTGATTTAATGCTTTGAAACGTCACTGGACTCACAGAACCTTGTCACGCCTTTGCAGGTTCAAGACCAGCAGTCTGCTCTGGCCCCCCGCGTACAAGCCCTTGTCTCCCGCCTAACCAAACATGGCATCCTCGAACTAACTCCCGCGCCCAAACCAGAAGCCCCCCAGCCAGCGCCCCCAAAGGCGACCCACGGGGGCAAGAAGGGCCGTAACAAGAAGGCGCACAACCAGGCCGGCGTTTCCGTGGTGCCCCGCGAGAAACCCTCCGAGGAGCCTGTCGCAATGTCCCTGGACGCTTTGATCGAGCAGACGGAGAGCGGGATGGTCAAGCTGCTGGAGTCGCTTGAGGGCGCGCAGAAGAAGTGCGAGGCGCTGGAGCAAGAGCTGAGAGCTCGAGGTGGGTGTCTCGGCGATTTGAAATTTTCGGTTGAGTTCTGGAGGTCTTCGTGTTTGCTTTTCTAGTTCCCTTTTCGCCATGCTCATCACTGCGTGATAAGTTCTTGCTTCTGTACACACTGGTCGAAAGCCTTGTTGAATGGAAGCAAACCAACGGACGAAGAGCAACCTTCATTTTATAAACTTCTTTGTGCCTACCGCTTTACTGTTCGTGAGCCTTTCACCTGGAAGCTTGTTTGGGCGATTGTCAATGATTAGTCTTCTAAATTCGATACACTCAAGAGGAGCCCTTGTATGTATTAACAAGGCTCTTCCAGTTTGTGGTGCATGGCACCTTTTTTGGTGCCTTGACAAGTGGAAACGTTAACCTTGCCTGCGTTCAATGAGTTGCGAACCCCGTGAATTTCACTATCTGAACTTCATGTCTCCTCATTGTTCCCACTTCACAAGCTTGCCCGTGGCCCCACTTGTGTTGGGACGTTTGGGCACTCTTGAAACAAGAGATGTTCTGAAGAGCTGTTTGAAAAAAAGTGCATCTGATGAGACAGCATGGTGTTGCTCTTACAGAAGAAGAGGCGGAAAAGATAAAGGCCGAGAGGAACGCCGTGGAAGAGCAGCACCAGGACTCAGTGGCCCGAGTCGCTGCCATGGAGTCTGACGCCGCTTCAGCCCTGGAGAAGCTGAGGGAAGCTGAAGAGAAAGCAACGCAGACGGAGGCAGCGCTGCGGAAAGAGCTGACGTCAGCCCTGGAGAAGCTGAGGGAAGCTGAAGAGAAAGCAACGCACATGGAGGCAGGCCTGCAGGAAGAGCTGACGTTAGCTCAAGAGAAGCTGGGGGAAGCTGAAGAGAAGGCGACGCAGACGGAGGCAGCTTTGCGGGACGAGCTGACGTCAGCCTTGGAAAAGCTCAGGGAAGGGGAAGAAAAGGCGACGCAGACGGAGGCCGCGCTGCGGGAAAAGCTGACATCAGCAGAAGCTGATGTCGAGCGGCTGCGGGGAGAAGCGCGGGCCGCTGGAGAAGCGGCGGAAGGGGCCGAGAGCAGGGCGCGAGAACTAGAGGCGGGGGTGGAACGCCTGCGGCGGCAGTCGGAAGATGCGGAGAGAGAGAAGGAATCTGCGGAGAGGGGCTTGAGTGAGCTGGACACGTTGCGGAAAGAAATGGCGGAGGTGGTGGAGGCGAAACGAAAGGCGGAGGAGTTGCTGACTTCGAAGGGAATAGAGTTGAGTGAGCTTCGGGAGGTGATTCGTCGGATGGAGGAGAAAGGTATGGAGAGGGAAAGCGAGTTGCGAACGGTGGAAGAGAGAAGAGCGGAGGTGGAGAGCGCCCTGGAAGCGAGAGAGAAAGAAGTGGGCGCTTTGAAGGAAGCCCTCGAAAGCGGCTGTGCGAAGGAAGAGGAGCTGTCAGCTCAGGTTGCGAAGATGACCGCGTCTGCGTCTGAGAACGAAACGAGAGTGAGCGTACTACGGGAAGCGCTGGAGACAACTAGAGCGGAGGCGGAAGACGCGCGGGCGCGAGCGGAAGCGGTCGAGAAGGGGAAGGCGGAGGGGGAAGCGGCTATGGAGCAGCTGAGGCAGAGCTACCAACTAGAGAAGGACAAGGTGGAGCGCGCAAAGAAAGCGTACAAGAAGCTCAAGGACGAGAAAGTGCGCTTCGAGACCAAGGTGAGCGAGTGGCTGTTAAGGAGTGGGTGCAGGACAGCAATCCGTGGCAGTGCGTTGTTGTGTCTGTAGCGGAATGGATAGACACGTGGCTTCCGTTTGGTGCAGGCGATGCTTGTGACTTCTGACGATCTGTGATTCTGTTTCGAGTACTCCAAGCAGCGTGTTTCTCATAGTGGTTGGTAACCAGTACAATGAGCTTTGGCGCAGCTGTCGGGCTCAGAGCGCCTATTGAACGGTGGCAAAACCAGTTTCGGGTTGCGGCCGGAGGCATCAAGTGCGTTCCGCGAGGCACGATTTCAGTAATTGGCTGACATTTTACCTGAGGACATTGAGAGAGAAATGTTCGGAACCAGTCTCGAAGAGTTCCACCCACGAGGACCTTGTTGAGGGTTGCAAAGCTCGGCCGATAGATGAATGACGTCTTCTTTCTGTCTCACAGGTGAAGGAGCTCGAGGGGAGCGCCTCGTCCGGCGCCGACGCTCAAACGGCCCGGATCAAGGAGCTTGAGGCAGCCGCAGCGCAGTCGCAAGAGCTGCTCGAAAAGGCACAGAGTGAAAAGGGTCAGACAGAGGAGACGCTTAAGCAGCTAGAGGCGGCAGTTGCAGAGGCCGAGGCCAAGGCGCAAGCACTTGCCGGCCAACTCGAGGAGGCGCGGGAAAGGATGGGGGGCATGGATGCAGAAATTCTCAGAGCGCTCCGTGAGAACCAAGCGCTGGATGTTATCGTGAAGGACCACCAAGATGCGCTGGAGCGCACGACTGCCGAATCGCACGGTCTCCGGACGGAGCTGGCCGCGGCGTCCGAACGGGCGCGGCAACTAGAGGCGGAACTCCTGGAGAAGGAAGGGGAGATTGGGGACGTGTGGGAGCGCAATCGGGCTCTCATGGAGGATCGGGCCACGCTTGAGACTTCCGTTGAGGGTAAGGACTCGGAAATTAACGTGATCCGAGTTCAGTTGTCGGAAGCTGAAAAGAAGGTGACGGAGACGGACACGAGAGCGGGCGCGGCGGAGGCGCTGTTGGAAGAGACTCGTGGCAGGACGCGGGAACTGGAGGAGGAGGTGGCGGTGATGCAAGGAACTCTGGTGGAGTTGCAGGGGTTCCTGAAAACGATGGCGCAGGAGAAGGAAAGCGCTGTAGCGGAGAAGTCGGGGCTGGAGGCGAGAGTGCGCGAGCTCAGTCCGGAGATGGAAAAACTGCGCGCGGAGCTGGCCGCCGTGCGGAAAGAACTAGAGGAGGCGAGCAGCGCTCTGGGAGGTGCGCGGAAAGACGCGGAGGAAGCGAAAGCTAACGCGGATAACGTTCGGAAAGCAGCTGAAGATGCGGAGAAGATGTTGGGAGACACGCGGAGAGAGGCAGAGGCCGCGCAAAGCGAGCTGCAGAGTCTGAGGGAGGCGAAGAGCACTGATATGAGGGAACGAGAAGCAGAGCTTACGTCACTTCTGGCAGAGCGGGACGCGGCAAACGAGGTGCGGATGAAAGAAGTGGCGGAGCTACGGGCGCAGGTGTCGGAACTGGAGCAGGAGAGACAGGAACTAGAACGGGAGAGGCAAGATCTGGCCGGCGAGCTAGAGTTGGTGCAAGCGGCGATTTTGGACGTCCGACAGGAGAAGAAGGAACTTGTGGCGGCATCCGAACTAGAGCAGGCGCATATTCATGAAGCTCGCCAGGAGAAGGACCGAATTGCGCAGGAGCTGTCGGATGTGCGGAACCAGTTGAGACGGACGTCAGGAGCGGAGCAGGAACTAGGGACGGCGAGAGAGGAGGCCGAGCGGATCCGGGTGGAGAGCGATGCGAGGTACAGGGGTTTGCAAACCGAGTACGAGGCGCTTGCGACACGTTTGGAGTACGCGGAGAATGAAGTGGGTGCTTTGAGAGAGGCGATGGGTCGGAGAGAGGGCGAGCTGCGGTCAGCAGAAGACGCTCTTTCTGCTCTAAAAGAGGAGAAGAAAGCGCTAATTCAGAGCCAATCGGAGGAGAGTGAGAGACGGGAAGAAGCCCTGCGGCGAGTTGAGGTGGAGCTAACAAAACTGAAACAGGAGCGGGAGACGCTACATAGGGACCGCGAGGCCGCGCACAGCTCAGGTGCCGAAGCTGCTGCCGCTATTTCGGTTTTGGAGAGGGAGAAGAAGCATTTGGAGGAGGAGGTTGCGCGGCTAGAAGAGACGGCTGCGCAGCGGAGCGCGGCTCTGGAGGCGGCCAATGAGAGGGCTTCAGAAGCTGCAAACGAATTGGCTGAGAAAACGGAGAAGCTTATGGCTTTGTCTGCCGAGATCGCGGCTCTTCAGGCGCAGATTGCAGATGCGGCTTCCGAGAAGGAGGCGCTGGTGCAGGCTCTGAGGGAGAAGGAGCGCTTGGTGGAGTCACTGGCTGCTGAGCTGGAGGCCGCGAAGAGCCAGAACGAAGCACTGGAGCGCCAGGTGGCGCAAGCGGGGGACGCCTCCGAGGTCGCGAAGTTGAAAGAGGACCTAGCGCAAGCGCAGACCCAAACGGCAACGGTGCGGGAGAAACTTATGAAGGCCGTAAAGAAGGGCAAGAGCATCGAGCAGCAGAAGAAGGAACTAGAGAAGGAGCTGCAGGAGTTGAAGGGAGCGCCGGCGGCGACCGAGGGGACGCCTAGAGGTTCCGCGCGGCAAAGTGAGGAGCTGGGCGACGGGGGGGAAGCTTTAGAGGTGCAGGCGGAGCGGCGGCGGCTGGAAGAAATTTACGCCGCTCAGATGCAGCGGGTGGCGGAGCATTCCGCGGAGGAGCAACAGCGGCTGACGGCGGAGCGGGACGCGCTCGCGCGCGAACTAGAGGGGGCGAGAAATGAGCTTAGAGCGTTGGAAGCCGAGGTGCAGAAGCTCGGGGCGCGGATGCGGGATAAGGAGGAGGAAGCGATGGAGGCGCATCGCAAGGCAAACGACCTGGCCGTCGTGCTGGCGGAGAGCGCAGCGCGTGAGACGGAGCTGCGGAGGATGAGCGGGCACCTGCAGAACCAGGTAGGTTTGGCGCTTTGTTGTTGAGAGCAATTGGAAGATGTCTGCTGGCTGCATATTACGGGCGTACTGGCACTAATCTTGCAATTGCGGTTGCACAGTAGATATCCACGTCTGTCCTGTCAGACCGCGCTTTAACACACCGCTCCACTCAGTAGAGCCCTCTCATTTCATTTCATGACGACCTCTTGCGTCGTTGCAGGGGAAGATTCAGTCAGCTATCAGCAGTGTAAGCGTCTGTCTGTGCATAGTTTCAAACGGGAAATTGTATCATACTCGACTGCGAACGTAAAAGCGACAGCGCTTATGGATACCAACAAACGTTCCTGTGAAGGAGTCAGTTTCCAAAATCAACTTCTCAGCCTAACCCACAAGAAGAGGCGTTTTCAAAACCACATCGCCTCTTTCACGTTTCCTCCCTCTCTTTCCAGGTGAAAGAACTAGAGGAGTCCATTACTGCCGCCAAGCGCAAGCGCCGCGAGTCCGAGCGCGCGCTCGAGACCCACGAGGCCGAACTCCAAACCCTCCAAACCTCGCTGACGTCACTCGAGCAGTCGAAACAGGCCCTCGAAGCGGACCTGTCCGCCCAGACCGCTCGCGCCGAAACCGCCGAGTCCGCGCTCGCCGCCCGGGAGGTCGAGATGGGCGGTGTGAATACTCTCAGGTCGGAGCTGGCGGCTGCGAACGAGCGCGTCCGACAGCTGGAAGAGGGCATTCACACCAGGGGGAAAGAGCTGGAAACTGTGGGGGCGCAGCTGGCGGAGATGACGGAGAAGCACCGGACGGCGCAGGAGAAAGCGCTCCGCGCGCGGGTGCTTTGGGAGAAGGGGAACAAGGAGGTGGAGAGATTGAAGGCGGAGGTTGCGAGGCTGGAGGAAGGAGGGGAGCAGCGCGAGAGGGGCGGCGAGGACGCGCAGGGAGAGGTGAGCCTCGCTTCTGGTTTCCACAAGGGAGAGATTGGAATATAATTATCCTTGTGAGTGCTCTATCAACGATCACAACTCGCCTTCTCGAGGTTACAAGTCCGCGCGAAAGAATTGCAGGGATTTGAATACAACTTCTGCGATTATCCAGACTCAGTTTCCTTCCGGATCTTCTTCTGCCGTGGTTCAAGTACCTTTGTAGATGGTCGTTGGACCTCTCAGTAGTTTGTTCCGTTCGGAAGGGGCGTCATTTTGACCCGTGAATTTGTGAGGACGTGTCAGAGCCCATCTCTTTCGTTTCCGGGTGACTTTCACGCGTGGTGCAAACGCGGTGCATTGCTTGGTATACATCGTTCGATTCAGACTTCTGGAATCTCTCAGGAGTGTGTCAGTGCTAAAGAGGGCAAGGAGCTTGTGGCCTGTGAGAGCAGTCTCAAAGTGCCAGATGTGCTTCCGCCTTTTTACATTCGGCATGGAGAATTGTGTGTTAAGGCTGCAGGAGTGCCTCCACCCTCGCACGAACGCCTTCGTACCCAACACAATTATTGGTCTGAGCCAATGCGCACTTCTGCTGTTCCAGACCCGAATCGAACTTTTAAGTGGCACCTCGGGGCCCTGGTTCCATCTTCGCGCGACACGACCTTTCTAAGCAAGGAACAATCAACTTTCAAAAAGGATCTGAAAGAAAGCTTTTACTCTGTGCAGGTTCTCACGCTCCAGACTCGAGTTGAGGAACTCACCGCCGCCCTCGAGAGCGCCCGCAAGGAAGCCGAGGAGCGGCTCACTCACTCAGAAGACGAGAAGAACCGGCTTTTGGCATCGCTCGCCGACCAGCACGAATCCGCCGCCAGTGCTGTCCATAAGCTTGAACGGCTACAGGGACTGCTGCAGACCGAAGTGGAAAAAGCGGAGAAGTACGAAGCGAGGATTGCGGAGCTCGAGGCCACGTCAGCTGGCCACGTGGCAGACGTCGAGCGGCTGTCGGGAGACCTGGCGGCGCTGCGGGCGAGCCACGACGAGGCGGGTGACGTCATCAAGGGTCTCCAAGAGGAGCGGGAAGCGGCGCGCGGGGAAACGGAAGGTCTGAGGCGGAAGCTGGAAGCTGCGGAGAAAGGGGGAGACGAGGAGCTGGTTTTGGCGAGGGAACAACTAGGCGCGGCGCAGAAAGAGGCGGCGGGACTGAAGGCGGCTTTGGATGCCCACGAGAAAGAGTATGAAGCGAAGCTGAAGGAGTGGGAAGAGAAAGCGAGGGGGCTGTCAGAGGAAGTGGGGGCGTTACGTGCGCGAGAGGAGGAGCGGGTTGCGGCAGTCGCGGGTGCGGAGGCGCAGCGCGCAAAGGCGGTTGCGGCGGTGCAGAGCACCAAGAAGAAGACCCAGGAGATGGTTGCGCAGGTAGATTTCCAATTTGTCCTCTACCCGGCTTTTCGTGACCCCCAAAAAACCTGTCAACTAAAAAGCTATTTTTGGTGGGCGGTGCAGAGCGCTAAGAACAAGACGCAGGAGATGCTTGCGCAGGTTAGTTTTGATACTTTTCCTTACCGATAGAAACCATCAATAATCAGCTTTTTTTACTAGCAGTATACACCTTGTTTGCAGATTACGCAAATCCATGAAGGTTCTTGCACACGTTTACTTCACCACCCTAGAACCCTAACCTATGTATGTTGTGTTGGTTTGACTATGATCAAGCTCTGTAAAACGGAAGGTCGTTCTGCTGGGCCAAAACAAACCTAGATCTTGATCCAAACATTCTTGCGCTCCGCACCTATATTCACCCTTATCTTCAAGCTAGCCCCGCCTGTCACCCCGGTTTGGTGGTGGTGATGACATGGCGCATGCTCATAGAGGCGACTTTTCTGTGGCGCAGATGCAAATGATCATTGCGGAAGCAGAGACTCTGAAAGCGGCGGTCGAGACGCGGGATAACACTGTAGCGGAGCTGGAAGGACGGGTTGCGGAGCTCGAAAAAGAGAAGCGGGAGCTCAGTGCGAGGTCAGCGGGGCTGGAAGGAGAACGAGAGGCGCTTCGACAAGAGATGGCGGAGCAATCCGCGCGGATTGAAACGTTGACGGCGGAAGCGCAGGGGGCGCTCGAGAGAGGGAGCCTGGAATTGGACCAGCGGGTTGCGACGCTCGAACGGGAGCTGTCCGAATCGAGGCAGGAAGCGTCCGAAGCGCGCGAAGAGGCGTCCGAATCGCGCCACGTGGCGTCCGAAGTCCGTCGAGAGCTGTCCGACGTCCGGGAGCAGCTCAGGCAAGAACGCGCGAGGGCGGAAACGCTGTCGAAGCAACTGGAAGAGGCCTCGGAACGGCTCTATAATGAGATAGCATCCTCACGGGGAAGGATCGATGCGCTGACGTCAGAGCTCGAAGAGCGCGCCCGCGAGGTTGGAGCGCTTCGGGGCCAGATTGAGCGGATCACGGAGCAGAACGCGGAACTAGAGGCGGGGTGGGAAGAGGAAGCGAGGGGCCGGCAGGAAGATGCGTCGAAGCACACCCTGGAACTCCAAGCGCGCACCGAGGCGGTGCACGAGCTGGAGACACGTGTCCAAGACCTGTTGGGTTCGGAGGCGCAGGTTAAGGAGCTGCAAACCCGGGTCAGCGACCTGGAGGGTTACGAAGCCCGAGTGAGGGAACTGGAGGGTTACGAAGCCCGAGTCAGGGAACTGGAGGGTTATGAAGCCCGGGTTAAGGAGCTGCAAGGCGTGGAGGTCCGGGTCAAGGAGCTGGATATCCGGGTTAAGGAGCTGGAGGCGATGCAAACCCGGTCGGAGGAGGCGCTGGATACGGTTTACCTCGAGCTTGCGGAGAAAGCGAAAGAGAGCGAAGGGCTCACTGCTTCGATCGAGCAGGAACGGGGAGCCGCCGCCGAGAAGGTCCAGAAACTAGAGGCGGAGCTCGACGAGGTCGTGCGCAAGCTCTCCGGGGTTAAGGAGGAGCTAACCCGGGTTAAGGACGCCCACGCGCAAACCCAAAAAACGTTCCGGGAGAGGGAGGAAGAAGTCGAGAGTTTGCGGCAGGAGTTGGCCGATTACGGAGCGGAAACTGCGGCTACTCGCGGGAGCGAGCTTTCGAGAGGCCCTGTCACGCCGAAGGTCGAAGCGCGGCAGCCGGCCGAGTTGAGAAACGACACGGGCAGAGGCCTCCCGACGTCGCCGCTGCAATCGACGGGGCCTCTGGTGGCGGTGGCCAGCGTGGCGCAGCTGCGGGGCGCGCTGGCGGCCCGCGAGCTGGAGGTTAAGGAGCTAACCCGGCGGTTAGCGGAGGTTAGCGAGGCGGCGAGGCAGGCCAAGGGCAAGGAGGACGCGGTGCGGCGAGAGCTGAACGACTTGGTAAGAGTTGGGCACGGATCACGTCGTCGCTGGTTGCTCGGATCTGAGGTCCTAAACCTTAAGACCCAAAACAGGATTATCTTCCTTCTTGACACCGATAGTACATATTTTTGCATTGGTTTGGCTGGACAGTCAAACATTCCGGTACGAGTAACAGCGGATGCTCAGACCTATTGCTCGTCGCTTTGCTTTCCGTTCTTGTCAAATCCATAATGCACCCTTGTACCCTTCTTCCAACAATGACCGACTATCGGCCCCTTTGAAAAATCGTCTGCACGAAAGGCACGTTCGACCCTCCATCCGTCCTTAGTTGATTTTGCGCTTCAAACGCGACCCCATCTGCTCTATCAAGCCTCTCTTCCCCAGTCCTCTCTGTCCTCTGATCTTGCTCAGGCTGGGCCTAACCCATGCGTCCCTTACCCCATGCCAGGCTTAACCCATGCCAGGCTTAACCCACTTTTTCTTTTCTCCCCCCAGCACCAGCGCTACCGGGAGCCCCCCCTGCCGGTGTCCACGATTCCACTGGGCTCCCCCATTGCCTCTTCTTCGTCATCCATGCCCCTCTCCACGCTCAACTCTCGAAAACCGGGGCACTCCTCCGACCAGGAAATACTGCCACTTCTGGCGGACGACGACAAAGGTGAGTCCACCATCCCATCGCAACTTTCAAGTTGCTTGGTTTTGACTCCTTCTCTTTCCTGGACCACAGTCCGCTATTTGGAGAAGCTCCATGGGCGTTAACGGACAATTCGCCAGGAAGACTGTGGGTCCATGGAGGTACTTTAGGTTCCTCTTTTTCCAACTTATGGAAAAGGAGTCTGCGCCGGACAGGAAGGGTACGAGGAAACGACATGCATGTTTTTGCTTGTTCGCATTTTCAGATTTTTGAATGCCGTGCCGAGCTGTCACTATAAGGCAGCGTCAGTCACAGCGTTGTGTCACCGCTGTTTTCTGTGTTTATGTGTGTGTTTTTTGTATCCTTTGTTTGTTTCGTACGTCCACAAGATTGCGGCTCGCGCATACAAAGCACACCAGTCACCTCTGTAATCCTCCCCCAGTATCTATCATCGGTTACCCGCAAGCCGCAATCCCTGTTTTCAGTTGACAGAAAAGCCCCAAGTCTCGATTGACTCAAACAGTCTGTGCATAGTCAACGGACAGACTACGTATGCAGCACCTTTCGAGACTCTCTTTGAAACTCTTGGAGCTTGCCAGCTTGCGCGTGCTTTCAGACTTAATGATAGCCTGGTTGCTCGGCTACGAAGCGCGTCCTTATTCCGGCGTCTTAACCTGCCCCGTATTCGCACAGAGCGGGGCATTGACACGGGGCCTTTTCCCAACGCAGAGAGCTACCTTCGCCCGACCACTGCGCTGCTACGAAGGTTCCCGCGCGCACTCCGGCCCCTCGCTGAGGGCGCCGATAGGCTATCGTGAGGCTTCCACTTCGTATTTCACCGCTTGGTTTGTTGTGTTATTCGCTGCCGTCAGTACGGCAATCTTTACCGAAATTACGTTCCTTTTGTAAAGTGGCTACTCTTCTGGAACCGGCAAGCGGAATGTAGGCAATCAATCAGCAGTGCGCGCAACGAGCGGGTTCCTTGGCAAGTTGAAAGAGCTCTTCGTTCTGCGCCGTTCCTCACTTTAAAACCTGGTCGCAAGCGGCTCAGTACAGCTCACCAACTTTTGCGGCCTTTGTCGGTTCTACGGTGGATTTACATCTCCACCCCGTTTCCCTGGGGAGACACGTGTCGTTCAGGGAAGCACGGGCGATCTGAGCCGTTAGTGCACGCTTGGTGTCTTGGGCCTATTTCACCATGTTCGCAGTTTTCGCAGACTGCCGCACAGCGTCAGAGTGCCTAACGCCTGTCCCTGTTTGGTTCGCAGGACGCTCACTGGGAGGACCCTCCAGGCACAGCCCGGCGCTCGACTCGCAGCCATGGCCTACTGCGTTGTGCTGCATCTCTTCGTCGTTTTTCTCATTTCGACGGTAAGTCGGAAACTTCGTGTCCTGTATCTGAGAACACATTCTGAGTACGTCCATGGTTGCTCGTCTTTCCTTTGCCGTTTCCAAGATGCCAATAGAGGTGTCAGCATGTTTAAACTACTCAACAAGGCATGCCTTCGCCTGTAGAATGATTACTGCCCTTGTCTTTGAGTCCCTGAAATGCTCACGGCGCGTTCGTGGAGCTGCCAACGAGGAAAAGGGCTCTTCCTTGTTTTCTGTTCTTTCTTCTTTGTACTTATTCAAGCTCCGCTTTAACAGAGTTTTCAATTGCCGTGCAGAGGAGTTGTCCCTTACCATGACAGACGCGATATGCGTGTTAGTGACCTTCTACGGCATTTGGGCCCCAAGCATCAGGTTTGACATGGCAGTCTTTTACGTCGGACCCCTAGGGTTTAGGACGGAGCAATCTGGGTCTAATAGCACCTGCATACGGCTCGCCCTAAACGCAGTCGAACTCTACTCTTACTAGCTTGAACACCGGATCTAGAGACGTCATGTGCCACCGATCAGAGATTTACTGCAATAGTATAAGGCCTTGTTATCTGCTGTATGATCATCGTTGACTTGATTTGCCTGGGGTCGAGTCGCACACTCTCTTTGATGCCCCAACCTTTTCTGGCGGGTTATCGGAGATGAAGCGCGGCAGTTGGGCAGGATTTCGTCGTTGTTTCGGCTCTAGGCGCCGTGATCGTCAAGGTTGGCAGTTGGAACGCAGTCGATTGGCTGAGTGCAGTGCAGTACGCACATGCATGTTGGATAGATGCATTAATTGTCCTGAGAAAGAAACATCATGTGATTCATCCAGTGAGTACTATAATCACTATGACGTCCGGTACATGATATGCGCAACATAATGACCTAGCTAGCTATCGTGATCGGACAGGCCGGACCGGGCCGAGGTGTAAGCCTAAATCCGAGCTGCAACATAATTGTCTGCAAGATTTCGGAACCGGTATGCAACCGTCGACTTTCTCAAAGTCGGATTGAACGCGGCAATTGCCGCGATTGATTAACCCTTGACAATTAAACCCGCCGCCTGTATGTATCATTCCCAACATTGAACTCAATTAATGTCACTAACGGTACAGTGTCACATGTTGCACAGCCAGCCAACTTCAATGCCAAGTTGGCGCGGCGCCAGTTGCTCACATGGATATATATGGATGCTGCGCGTGCGCGGTGACGGGCCAACGTTGAGCTAGTCCATGCGCGCATCGATCCCTGGTGACATGGGCTGGCGCGTCGCGCCGTATGAGCGCTGCTGCCGCGGGCCGGTCTTGACGGTGCATACTCGACCGTCCAGAGTCTATGTAATTTAGTAAGCGGGATCAGGCATTTGCGGTATAACAGGTAAAGGCCGCGGGCCCCTAACTGATCGGCTTCAGTGGAATTAGTATTCAACTTCGCAGTTTGCGGACCTAAAAGAATGGTTTCTAACATACCTTCTAGATATCCTTGCATGCTGGTTCAAAGTGCTCGCTTCTCGCGAGATGGCTCCTCTGGCTTAAAGTTCCTTGCAAGGAAAACACCGGGGCAAGTTCTTAAGCCCCCGAGCAACCCCTTTTTGCACCCCAGGCTGACGCCCCAGGAATGTTCTGACTTTTCTTCGGGCGTGCTCTCACCAACTCAAGCAAGCTTAGCCGCTAGCCGCTAAACCCTTGACATGTAATTTTTAAAATCGCATGCTTTTGACAACGTAAAGAAATGACAGATTTTAGGGAAAATATGGACCTTACTCGCCACCCGAAAGCGGCTATGACGCTCTGAACTCTCAAAAGCCTCGATTCTTGCCTAAAGAGCTGAGCCCGCCATAGAGTAGGTGTAGATATTGCTCATTGGCACTTTGCCGAAGAGCTCAAGGAAGAAGGTGCGCATCGACGCCCAGGAGCGCATGTCCGCCTGACGGTTGTACGCAGACTGGAATGTAGAAGAGGTTAAGCACGGGTTAGTGAGTAGAAGCCTGGGTGCTGAAATGGAGAAGGCGGGTTAAGCACCGACAATGAAGTAGAGTAGCATCGAATGTGGTAACCCTTCCGGCCTGGGTCGGTGAAATGTTGAGGAAGGTCTCACCCTGACTTGACGGCGAGAGATCAAGCAAACGGTGGTCAAAGACTGCAATGTAGCTCGCGAACCCTCGGACTGAATGGCGTGAATGTGAGACTAGTCTAGAAAGTAGGGACTGCCTGACCGTACCAGCGACGTCGAAAGAGATTATGCATTGTATTTGTGCATCGTAGCCACGACCAAAACGGCGGGAGACGTCATTGTGCTGACACTCTGGCGGATTCGTAAAGAGGAAAAGGAGGAGCCAGAGTACAAACCTATAAGTGCAAATCGTCCCTTTCTTTGGGTATTTCATAAATCCGGACCCGCTTTGCGAAGGCCTCTTGTTCAAGGGGCTCTCCAGCTTGCGATCCGTTCATCCAAGGCAGCGGTTCAACCCTAAGCCTTTTCAGACCTCGAAAACCCAGAATAGAAGAGATTTCAAACTGGATCTGTCCCTTATCCTTGCAAAACTCAACGTGGCAGGCTGGCCAGAGACAACGAAACAAACGCGGCGCATCCTTACCCTTGCGGTGCCCGGCACGTTGGTGGGGTTGGTGAAGGCGTGGGGAGTGTTCGAGTACTCGTGGAACTCCCAGGTGACGTTGGCTGCCGCCATCTCGGCCTGCAAAATACAGACTAATGACGTCAGACAAACGGTGTTGAAATGTGTTCCGAGTATAAAGCGCATCAGACCTTGTACTCGTGAAACTCCCAGGTGACGTTGGCAGCCGCCATCTCGGCCTGCAAGGTACAGAGTGATGACGTCAGAGTACTGACGTCAGACAAACGGTGTTGAAATGTGTCCGAAGACTCATGGAACTCCCAGGCAACGTTGGCTGCCGCCATCTCGCGGCCTGCAAAGTACAGGGTGATGATGTCAGAGTATTGACGTCAGACCAACGGTGTCAGAATGTTTCTGCGTACTTGCCGAATTTCCCAGGTGACGTTGGCTGCCGTCATCCCGGCTGCAAACGAGAGTAGGTGTTTATTTGACCGTCAAGAAACGATTCAATGATTCCAGATCACCCTTTCTTTGAGCCCTAGTAAGTACGAAACGTGAAACGGCCGCGTTACCTTCTAACAGCACTCCGACTCACTCTTGCATTGGAAACGTCAGGCTGCCGAGCGGAAAAGTTCTTTACACTGAGCGACGCAACTCGCTCATAGAATCAAGACGGAACTTCGGTTCCACTTATGTACGTCGCTACAAAAGCCTGCCCATATCTTGTCCCCCCTAGACAAGCACAAACGGTAATTATATCTCAGTAGAGACTACTTCGAAAATTCAGAGTCAATTCAATAAAAAGTCGTCTCTTTATCGATTGTTCAAACCAATTAAACCAACCGTGTAGTGGGAACGGGCATTTAATCAAACGTCGCGTCAGAAAAAGGACTCACAACGAACTCCGGCTTTCCGTTGGGGATGTCCAGGTTTCCGCTGTGCAGCGCGATTTTGACGATTGCGCCGGGGGCAATCTTGGAGCCGGTGGTGTTGAGCTGACCGGGGTGGAAACCGACGACGCCTGTTGAAGAATGGGATAAATACGGGTTAAATTCAAAACCCAAAACCCAAAACTCGTTAAGGCTGTTCGATTAGTTCTGTCTTTGGTTGATCGTGCAAGAGGAGACAATACATTGAACGCTTGAAGGCCTGCAAGAGGAGAAAACCCCTTTCAACGCAGAGCTGGCAAGTAGTGAAACGAAAGTCCTTGTTTGAGAGTACAGAGCTCTTGAAAAGCTCTCGAAGTTTGCCAGCCTGGGACGGATGGGGTTGCTGCAAGGGTTCGAAAGGAAGGTGTTGGAGCGAGCTTTGAGAGTTGTCGGAAGAAAAGCTCTAGAATGAGTATCGTTCAGTGGAAATAAACACCCTTCGCCTCTGGAGTAGTCAGCAAAAACGACGAAAGAGAGTGGTATTCGAAGGTAAGTGATAACTGACAACGGGTTAAAGCAATAAATCACCCCAGGATTACAAGCTCCAGAGGCCCACGAGATTCTTCACTTAGGATGCTTTTACCGACTCAGAGGCAATACCAGCTCTGAGTCACTATCGAGTTCAATGGAGCATGTCGATAGCAGTGTGTCGGCAATTGTGGGCTGAGAGAATCACCTAGGAGGCCAGAAACGTTGGCACGTGCCAGCTCGACCATAGCAGATCCGCCGAGACAATAGCCGATGGCAGCAATCTGGCTTCCGTTGGTGACTGGCAGCGTCTTGACCTGAGAAGAAGACGACGAAACATTGAGATCGTTTTCTGGGGCTTTAATTTGAGACTCAGAGCGAAAACTCTCGGTAAAACTAGCGTTCTCAAGAGGCAGAGAAATACAGTGCCTGATTTTGTAAACGATTCGGAAAGCCTACGAGTACCTGCTCGTCTTGGAACGCTTGAATAAGACTTGTCTTCTCGACTATTTTGCCACAAGAGCCTGGAAGCTGATTCAGGGCCCAACACTCCCGAGCGAGAGAAAGCTGGACGTACGGAGGACGACTGGCAAACAAACAAACTCTCCCCACCTCTCGAAGACTTCCTGTCTCCTAGGTGTTAATTTAAAGTGCTCTTGGTAATCCGCAAAGCTATGTAAAGGCACAACAGTGTCTCAATTGGAAAAGTAGGTAAAGACAGAGCTCACTGTGTTGATCGCAGCAACCATGCGGGACCTCAGAAGGGCAGGGTTGCCCAGAAGAGTTTGTACAAACGCAGAGCGGTTGGAAGAAGGCAGGGAGGGGCCCTGCGTGATGTTGGCGCCAAAGACATCGGCGACCATGGCTGCAAGGATACAGCAAAAATATGAGAATAGGGACGTCGTGTGATGTATCGTACCAAAATGTGCGAAAAGTTGTTGTCAAACTTACAGCACCGACTAAAGGAACTTTCTTGTGTTTTCTGTTTCTTCCCATGCTGCCCGCTACGAGGCCATGTCTGCCTGGAACCTCCTCTGTGGCATTTGGATTCAAGTTTTCCCACTAGGCAGCAAATCTAGGCAGCCAATCTAGCGGGAATGTTGAAGCTTGCAGAAACTTTTTTATTAAGTTGTTGAATCTATACAGATTGTCACTGGCAGTACAGTAATCTGGCTGAACGTCGTGGCACTTCAAGTGGTGAAGCGGGAAAAGCATGGCCGTGGCACAAAGATGGCTCATTGATAGACACTCCATCTGCTACTTGCAACATATTCACGTTAAGGTTAGATAACATGGCCCGTAACCCATAAATAGCATACTTTTCAAGCCACGTTTCCACAACAAACTCACCAACATAGCCGAGGTTGGCCAGCTGCATAGCCCTCCACTGCTCATAGGGACCGTTGCCATCAGAGTCAGGGACGATGATGATTGCGGGCCTTGCGACATTGGTCCGGTTGTCATACGTAAGGAAAGCCTGTGGAAACGGACACATGTCCACTTCAGGAGAAAGGGGAGAAACTGAGCTTGGCAACTTTGGTGCTACATTCCTAAATGAGGTGAAGTTGGAACGGTGTTCTCATGCTGGAATGCTGACATCACAAGGGGGATGGAATGAGTAAAAGGACTAGCAGATTGTGGCGGCCGTTCTGAGCCGTTTCAGAGCTTCCCTTTGAAACCCTGGACATGATGTTGCATCCTAAGAAGCAGCCCTGATAATCAATCGCAAATGCATAGGAGGAATTGGTTCTGATCAATGAGGCATTGGTTCTGATCATTGATCAGAACACAAGGGGACATTGCAGATAAAATCGACCACTTCTTAGTACAGCAGCGTCTCTCTCGAGGGTACTGTGACCTTTCTTCGTAGACGTGATAAATTCCGCGTTAATCTGCAGTGCTAAGCCATTGGAAACTGCTTCCCCAGCGGGGCCCAAATTTACGTGAGAAACTTTCATCCCAAGCTAGAATAAGTTGCTTTTCTGTGAAAAGGTCCATCTAGTACGGTATGCTCACATTCAGCGGGATGTCTGCGTTATAGGGGACCCTCTGCATGGTCAGAGTCGTCATGTTGACCCCGGCGACCAGTTCGCTCTCCATCATCTGGGCATTGGCCGTGTGGAAAACGGCGAGGACGGCAAGAAGGAGTAGAACGCGCGCCATCTGCAAGAAGGTCGGTTTTTGAGTCAATCCGTGTGCTTATGAAGCACATAAAAGATGGGACCCGGAATTTGTGCTTGGTCAAAGGCACTGACTTTGAATACACCATGATTACCTGAGCACAGTGCTGTTTCACCAGTCATAAGTGGGTTTCAGTCAACCAGGATTAGTGTAGGCAGAACCCCTCGTCTGGTGTAAGTAGGGGCAGTCCGCAGGAGGTGAAAGAAAAATCAAGGGGGTTTACCAAATTAAGAAATAGTTCCATAAGTGGCACTAAAGGGCCATTGAATGGGGTGGATACAAAAAGGAAAACAAGGAGCAGAACTGCGAGCTTTGGAACGGGAGGACATTTCTTGCCAGGTGCAGCCAGCGGGCGCAAAAGCTTTACCAGGGACAGACTTCGATTCCTGGAAACAAGTGTAGATTGTTGGGGTAAAGCTGTGTGCATGCAGACATGTTTCTCAAACAGAACTGCCCAAGCTGCCGCTGAGGGGTCCTGAAACCAGATTTTTCTTTCCACAACCACTGCACTTCCTGCATGAATTTGTTTCTTAAACAATTTGGAATTTAAATGTGCTGTGATGCAATGCATCAGAGTTCAGCATTGTGTGAGCACACACTGCCTGGAGCTAACACTTACCAGTATTAGCTTACAGACAGTATACTTTCACCAGACAGCACTGGGTGCATAAGCTAAGAACTGACAAGAGATATAGACTCGTCTTAAGTAGCGCTCAACAAACGTAGGCAGTGCATAGGTGGGAGCTGCTAATCACTTTGAAATACAGGAAATGCAGGTCCTAAAGCAGCAAAATTGATTGCAGCACCCAGGAAGAAGAATCACAGAAGAGGCGCAGTCCTAGGTGTTGATTCGTATCCTCTGGGAAGCAATAGATCCAAGCAAAAAGATAAGAAACTTTTGCTGCATTGTATCAAGAGCACCGGAGTGAGAACCTTACCTTTGACGGAGTGCTCGCAAATGCAGAAGATGAGCTAGTGAGACGTGCTGAGAAGGGGTTGTCGACAATGGAGCAAAGACACTGATCGACACTTCCCCTTTCAGTGAGATGTAGCTAAGGGAGAACAATGAGAGGATGCTGGAAATCCCAAGCGAGAGCTAGCACAAGAACCCTCTGCAAAATCCTAAAAAGGTCCAGATTCCGAAAGCACTTTTGCACTTTTCAATCCTCTGCAGGGATCAAGCTAGGCTGTATCCTACGATGTCGTAATCTCTTCATTCCGGCTCCTAGCTGTGCAGTGTGAGCTGCTTCTGTGACTGCAAAAAGATGCTATTCTGAGGAATGTTGTCATTGAATCTAGCTCAATCAGTGCACGGTGGCCACATCCTGACGTTACACGTAGGGTGAAGTGTTATGCGTGTATACTTTTAGCCACAGGAACTGTGTGCCGGCTGCGCGCACGCGCACGTACATATAAGTACGCCTGAAAATCGACGGCAGCTAGGCATCGACGAACCGCAGAATCTTGAGTGAAGGGTCAATAGCTTGCCAAGTGGCTCAATGTGAGCGGGCTGTACAAGAGCACTCTAAAAGCTCCCCGCAATGCGCATGCAGCAACATATCAGCACCTAGGAAAAGGGTCAGGTTACAAAGTTCCCTGATTGTACCTGTGCTCTAACCGGGTTTAGAGACGTCAGTTCCTCGGGGGCTTTGTTGCTTATGCAGGTCTGTGGCTTTTACTATTAGTGAAAATGTGAGTGTTTGCTATATGCTCACTCAGAGTCAGAGACAAGTTGCCTCGCAAGGAGTTCTAAGCGTTCAGCTGCAAACAACCCTCGCAAACACCACGAAGTTGCAATCAACACGAATACTGACAGCACAGTGCTATAACATTGCTGCGTCGGTTGCGTGTTTCTGTGTTCAGCTGCCAGCCTGCTGCATCCGGCTGAGGGCAGCAACTCTCCGGCGTGAGATCCACTAGATGGCCGGGTTCCAGAAACCCGCGACGCCCGAGCGGAAGCCAAGGGGCTGGCATGCTTTCACTGCTTCCCAGCGCGGTTCAAGCAACACCGCCGTTGAGGCGTTTCCAAGCTTGAGCCCAATGCAGACGGCGGCTCCAGATCTCAACCCGAGCCCCTCACAAAACGCTCCCCGTCGGAATGCAAGGTTTTCTCAGGGGGTTGACGGCAGGCGTGTCAGGAGCAACTCGCCGCCGGCAGTCGGTGGGCGCGTGCAGGGCAGGGGGGGAGTTTTCCAAGAGAAGGCGCCCCCTGCTAGAAATGGATCCCACGGTGGGAATGTTGTTTCAGGGGCCAATGGTGCGAGCGGGTCAGAGAGCGCCAGCTGGCGGCGGCGGGTTAGTGGTGGTGACATGCGGGGAGAGGCGGTGCGGCGGGTAAAAGGTGCGTACATCAGATACCAGAATGCGCTAGAATGTTGCAAAGCTGAGGACAAAGTGGCAAGAATACTCAGAAAGAGACGGCAATGCACTCTTGACCGACAATGCTTGGTTGGAAGCAAAGGTATGTCTGAGCATGCCTACGAGACATTGGGACTGCTTCATTGCCAGTGTTCGCAGGGTGGTACATGTGTTCTGCTCGTGAAGAGGCGCAAATGTAAATGCAAGCTTCACATGCTAACACACAGTGTGTGCTGAGTGGATTCGCACCGCCCCGCATGCAAACGGTGGTTACAGACGGATCATCTGATGGCGTGCCAGCTGCATTCGAAAATATCCATGTGTGCACTAGTCTGAAGTGTCCGACTTCCTTCAAGGTTGGAGCTTTGCTTGCCGACACTCTCCAACAGGCCCCAGGCGCAGCTTTTTCTTGACTGTCGAGTTAATGAAAGGGTGCATTGGTTTACATTTCCAGGCAGTGACGCCGCTCAGCGTCGAAACAGCTCTAACAGTTTCTTGGTCTGGACCACCACCGTGCTAAACTGACCTTTGAAATTGCACAACCAGTGAGACTGAGGCATTTTTGAAAGACCAGATTGGACGTTGCAATCAAAACGTGCTCTGAGCATCATATGTTGCAACTGGATGACATGTTTGTCCTAAGCCCACTTTGAAAGCTTTTGTTGATCCATTCAAGATGGTTTTCTGCCTTTGCAGCCGTTGCTCCATCTGCGGACTCCGCCTTGATCCAAGACCTGCTAGAGGCGCTGAACGGTGATGTCACCGCTGTCATCGCGCAGCTAGAGGAAATGGGCCTCTGCGAGTCGGCCCAGAGTGACGTCACGACCGCCCATGTCGAAAATGGTTTAGGAGGATTAAGCCTGGTTAATGATGAAAGTCGTGAAGGTGCCAAAAGAGGGGGATCCCTCAGGCGGAGCAGCAGGAGCGAAGGGGAGTTGGCGGAACTAGAAAGAGGGGCTTTTCGGGACGGGTTTGGAGACGCAGGCTGGGGGGATCAAACAGGGGATGGTAGGGAGCCGGAGCAGGACCCGTATTACAAGTATCGAGGAGAGGCCATCCAGATATCGAGGTGAGCTCGATGATTGTTGAGCCCCCTGTAGATATGCATTTAATGCAAGTGGAAGGAGTTATTCACCAGACAGCTTCGAAGTACAGGTTTTCCGAGGTTCAGGTATGAAGTTCGTTCTATTACGTTGCTGATGATGTTGCTTCGAATTGCTTTGACTGAACAGTCCCAATCTCACTTGCAAAGTCCAGCGGTTGCTGGAAGGGGCTCCAGTTAGGGAGCTGGCACTTGAGTGCACTGCTTAGAAGACACAAGACCTTGTGTAAACCAATTTCTCATCATGCTTAGGGGTCGCGCCAGGCACTTCAAATAGATTTTTCTACCCGCTTTCTTTACTCTCGTAGGTACTCTTCTTACTAGCTGATTTTTTTTTTTTTTCAGGCTCTTGAGCTTCTTATACCTCATTACCCCTTTATTTCTCCCGTAAGCCCCCGTTTCATCTTTCCCAGGGGTCGCGCCAGGCACGCAAAGAGCGCCGCGAGTGCATTCACATTGGGCGACCACGCGCGAGCCCGGGAGCTGTCCCGACTGGCGCGGGAGGAGGGAAAGATTGCGCGAGAGTTGCACGCACAAGCCGCTGAAAAGATCCTGCAAGAGCGAAACGCGGACAGACTTGGGGGAATATGGGAGATTGACCTGCATGGACTCCATGCAAACGAGGTGAGGAAGCGGGATAGCTGAAGGATTCTGGTGGGATGGTGGGAGGTACCCTCGTGAGGGATAAGCTATTGGTGGGATCTGGGGGCAGAAGTGCGTTGCTCTCAAAATGAGTGGTCCGGAGGAAGGGAAGGTTTAAGAAAGACAGGGACGAGAAAGGGGGGCTGTAACGGAGCATTGCTTTGGGCATTACGCTGACTCACGAGACAAGATGATATGAACGCTTTCTCTTTTAAACTACACGCCAAGCAGCCAAATGAGATGCAGCAGGTCAAAAGCTTACAAGAAGACAATAACGAACGCTTATCGGGCTCCCTTTTGTTGCAGGCCGTATTGGCACTCGCTGCACGGCTAGAAGAACTAGAGGCGGAGCTTTTTGCCCTGCTGAGCTCGCCCGCGGGAAGCATCCCCTCCGGTGGGAATGCGCCCTGGAGCGGTGTAACTGCGCCTAGCGTCTCGTCGGGCGGCCGAAAAGCGTCCGAAGGCGTCCCGAAAGTGTCCGAGTTCCCGTCGTTCCGGAAGGAGCTGATGGTCATCACAGGTGGGCTGATCAGTTTGTGCGATGCGCTTTCGACAGTCAATTCTAGGGGTCATTTGGAATGTGCACTACTTCGCAAACTTGCTGACAATAGTGTTTCCTTCGGTTAATTCTATAAAGAACGGCTTTGGAGAGACGCCGGCACAAGAGTAGGTTAGCAGCGCTGGTAGTAGTACAGCCCTCTCGGAGTATTCTTAAGCCGTCCGTTAGTGAATTCCGCTCACCTTCCTGTCCTTCCATTTTCCGCGCTCGTTGATGATCATGTTGAGGCCCTTCTGACAATGGGTGCATTAGTATTCTAAGAGAAGCGCCCTCACGCCGATTCCCGCCTCGCTTCATCTGAATATGTTGATGTGAAGATGATGAAGGGATCCCGCGACGAGCCCGCTTGAACCAACTCTAGTCCTCGAAGTCAGCCCCAAAAAATTCACTCGTTTGGTTGCTTTTATGCGTGTGAAGCATGGGGTATGCCTTCTGACTTCCTTTCCGTTTGTGCGTCCGATTGAAGAGGTCGTTCCCACAACCGACATTGTAAGTTGCCCTACCGATGCGGCTTGACTCCCGAACGCACAGTGGAGATTAAATCGTTAAGACACAGTCGCCATGTTGTTGGGATATCCCAAGTTTACCCGTCCGTCCGTTACCCGTTCGCAGAAAACCATCAAACTCTTGAATATTGATATCCGAAAATCCTAACGTCACTGCTTTTATCCTGCAGGGTTGGGCAACCACAGCAAGGGCGGTCCGACGCTCCCGTCGATCGTCAGCAGCTTCTTAACCGAGAGCGGGTGAGCGTCAAGTTTGAATGTCACAGTTTGTGAGCATTCTCTTCGGTGTCTGATCATTGGGCGAGCAAAGGGCGGCGGGGGTCAAGTACGAACAGATTGTCTGGTATGTTTGCGAAAGCAAAAGCCTTTCCTCTTTAAGAATGACGTACTTCGTTTTGAGGCCTCCCTAGAAAAAGCTGTGAGGAACACGTTTCCAACTAAACCATGCGGTATCGAATGCTTGTTGTAATGATTATGGGTCTTTTGGCAACTCTGTTATCAGCGCCCGTCGTCAATCTCTTCTTCGCGAGATTGAGCACAATCATTGAAGCACTAGATGTCTCGTTTGCGTCAATAACCCGGCTTTATTGTTCCCTTTGCGCAGATATCTGTTCCGCCAAGCACGCGCGGGTGTGCTCGCCGTTCGCCCGCGCTATAGGTATATAAAAAGGCAAAGTTAGTGCCAGGGTTTGGGTATCAGAGTATGCGAGGAACATTTTTTTGTCGCAAGTATTGATTGGCAACATTTGCAAGACTTGTTTTCGTCGGAATTGGGTCACCAGTGTGCGACGCTCTTGAACACCATCTGTCTTTTGATTGCTGAAGTCGATAATAACGGTAATCAGGTCGTGGAGAACGGAATTCTTCCGGTCTCCGATGCCCGAGCCCCTTCCTGACAGCGGGTGCATATGTTCTTCAGATCTTCGCATTTGCGACCACTGCAATGTCATCTGTTGTTCCGTTGAAAGCACATGCAAATCGGTGGAGGATATTCAAGGCTTGACTGTGAAATCCATTGTGAAGAGGTGGTTTCTAATCTTGCAACATGCAATCAATCGAATGGCAATCCACTTGCAGATGAAAATGCCAATCAAGAAAGTCCAAACATTGGGATCCTCTTTTGTGTTGAGATTGAGGAAAAGCGTTCTGACCATTTTGCTAAGACGTGTTTCAGCGAAGTCTTTGCGGCCCAACGCTGGTCGATTATTCTGAGCTCTGTTTTGTTTCATGGGAACTGAAGTATTGAACAAGTCCTTAAATCTGAAGGAAGACTCGCGAGCCGCGAGGTATTGAGGCGTTGAACGGTATGCAAATCTGAACTGTGTTGGGGAATTCCAGGTTTGCAAGTTGTTCAGGCTGCTTTAGAAGTCATCACGCTCGAGCTTTTCCATGTTTGTTGTCAGAACAAGCAAGCAATCGTACCCGTAGCTTCCGGTGGTAAATGCTGCTCAATGGCTAGAAAGCTGCATGATCAATTCACTAGCTTCCCGTGATTCTGAAAGAAATCAGTGATTGCCTCCCTTATTGACATGACATGTTCCTAGAACGGCAAGGCGTTTTTATTCGTGATCCTATTTGCCGAAACCCTTACCGGATTGACCGCACTGACCGAGATCGAAACTTGAGCGAGTAATCCCCTACTAACCCCAGCAAATCATCTGCTTCAATCACGAGAGACTCTTGACCCCATAATAAACCCTTCATCGCAAAACTTCAAGGTTGAGGACATTCTAGTTGGAACCCGGCCGTAATTGACTATCCGCTCGTTCTACCGGGCCCCTTCCAGTCTCCTCATAAACGTTCCGGAGTTGAGACAAGCTCGCATGATGCTTCTTTCTGTCGCGGGGTACGAATCTTCCCTCGTCCCTGTTCCACTCTTTCTGGTCACATCATAGTTTCCCGAACATTGCGGGGTCCAACTCTTCCTGCGTTCTTGTTCCATTCTTTATGGTCACATCATAAGCATAAGCATCCCGAACATTTCGAGAACCGAAAAGCAGGAAATACGGAGCCGCCGCCTCGTTAGCGCCGCTTTCGTCGAGTCCAATGCGGCAGTCTTCTTGAGCGCAATCTACAATACCTCTCAAATCAAGAGACGACCGTTAGATTGGAGTGTCGCTTCGGCCAGAGTCACTGGGCGCCGTCGGAATCTTGGGAGGCGAGCACGACCGCTTGTTTAAGGACGACGTTTGCGACTTGGATTGAAACGTTGTGGGTCTTTTCAAGGGCCAAGACTCTCGGTCACAGAGTAACCCCAAAACAGGCCCTGATGTGACTGTTTGGGAAGCAGGTCGATAGCTTCACTCAAATGGTAAAGTCAGGAATTGTAGGTCTGTAATGCGCTTACGAAGCTACGAGTGATGTGACAGACTTTCGGGTGCTCTCTGCTTGCAAGGGTCTTGCTTCCAGTCCGAACGTTGTGCAAAGTTTTCGCGGCACGTTGTAATGGAGAAGGCGCCTGGATTTGCGCCCGGAAAAGCTAAAGTCTGGCCGAGGAGCCCAGAAGACTATTTTCAGAGCGCTCTAAAACTCAGGGCATCGTTTGATGTCTAGAGGACGGGGTGGTCGGTATGACTGGGAGAGTGGAACAGGAGGTGTTGACTGAAGGGCGTGTCAGCTTTGGGCGCCAGCTTCTTGTGACAATGCTCCTTGGCGTTGTTCAGATTTTGGATACGAGAGCACTGGGAGCACTAAGCAAGGTTTGATCGATGGTTCTTCTTGGGGGACGTCACGTCAAGAGGCTAACGATCTCGCCGTCCCGATTTGGTACTTCAGAAAGCATGCGGGCTTCACGCGACGTTAGATCTACTAATCCGCTTGTGTTCTTCGTTGCAAAGGCTCCTGTAACCTGTCGACAAGCTCTTATATCCCGTTAACAAACTCTTGGATCTTTTCAAAGGCCTTGGAGCTTAGAGCCAGACCTTTCAGAAGCCTCTTAGATTCTGGAAGACGCCCTGACACCTTGGAGTTTAGAGCCAGATCTTCTAATAGCCTCTCAGATCCTTTCAACACGCCCTCAAATCCTGGAGCTTAGAGCCAGATTCAACGAGAGGTCAGCCAGCTCCACTTTCGTTGGATAACAGACATACACCCCGCCTGTCCTCTTCTTCCAAAACCACATTGCATCCTGGCAAGAAGCTCTTAGATCTTGTCAACAATCTCTCAGGTCCTTTCAACAAGCCTTCCAGATCTTGGAGCTTTGAGCATAGTCCCTCTTAGATTGTTAAGTTTTTAGAGTTCGGAGCTTATGCCTTAGTCCCTCAGGTTTCAACACCAAGTCATCAGCGCCCATTCCCTTTAGCGACGCTCCAAACCCAATGTCCTCTTCCGGCAACGGGGCTCCTCCCCAACGGAGCCTCCGCCACGTGTTCTCCAAGCCAAAAGAGAAGCCAACCGAGGTCACTGACGCGGAATGGTACCTTGCCAAGTGGAAAACCAAGCCATGCCAGGTAGATCCCCCCGTTTGCTCGCACTCCCTGTTTATCCTGTCCGCTGAGAGTTACTGAATGCCTTCAATCAGCACAATCGAGCCTGTTTTGCATCTGGACAAAGCTTTGCTCCACTGTCCTCGGTTTTGGAATTAGATCCACAATCTCGAGTGCTCAAACAATGGTGACCAGGCAATCAAATGCCCAGGAAATGTTGATTATCGTGCCCCTGTTAAGGCTATTGTTCCAAACTTTATAGGTGTAAAACTCACGACGGTTCTGAATGAAAGAGACAAATATCAAAACAAACGAGCAGACGATGCGGTGTCTCTAAATCGTGGTGATTCACCTCTGCCAGTTCACAGTCTGCCCCAACGCCTGGGGATGCCCGTACGCGCACGGCGAGAACGAGCGGAGGCGATCCCCGGTCAGTTTTACATATAGCGCAGAGGCCTGCCCAGACGCACCTGACTGCCCTCGGGGGGACGAGTGTGAATTGGCACACAACTACAACGAACAAGCGTTTCATCCCAGCGTATATAAGACGGTGCCGTGCGCGGACTTTCCGTGGCACTGCAACCAGGGGACCAGGTGAGAAAGCTGGGTGTGACACGTGGCAGGATTGGACTGTTTGTGAAGGTAAACGAGCTTGCGTTTGATGCTCTCTCGCTGTCCAAATCGATTTACATCAACTAAGAGAGCAGGTGAGGGCTCTAGATGTGACACGTGGCAAGATCTGGAGACCTGGGTTGGGTCGTGAATGGTGCAGTTCTGTGGCTGTTTTCCTGGTACTGTTTTGGTGCAAACACGTTTGGGACCAAGGACTAAGTCCGCATCAACGTATCTGCTCTGAGGGAAATGTATGATTGTCTCTGTCGAATTCCGGAATGAAGGGTCACATCCATGTGAGAGTCTGTCGTGTCTTTGACTGAGGACTTTCGGCTCTTTCTAGCTCACAACAGGATGCGTTCCTATCCAGAGTGTTTGGCAGTCCATCCATTGCGCGTCAGTTTCTTTGGCAGCTATAAAAAATGGGACCAGAGAACTAGCGTAACTCATCGTCCACTTTGTTGTCGTCTCGATGAATGTCGTTTGACAGTACTTGGTCCGCAAAGAACGAAAATTGGAAACGGCTGTCTCATTTTGCGCTTGTAAACGACAGAGGACGTTCTTTGACAGCGCCGCGCTAGCCCTCAACCAAGCAGTCACGGCAGAGACCACAAAATGATTCAGAAAGTGGATCCTCATTTCTCCATAGCATGCCTGGAGCTTTGTTCCTAGCATCTCTAAACCCTTGCTTCGCGAGTGTTACCCGTTCTTTTTCTTTCCTTTGGAAGACTTCGGCAAGATGCAAATCAGCTTCTGCTGAAGAGGCAAGTAGTTTTTGACACTCATCGCGAAGCGCTGTTTTGACCCCTCTCTGTGGCAGGTGCCAGACAAGAACTTCCTTGTTGTCCTTGTTGCTCGACACAAATGCAAAGTCATCTTCGGCTTTTCATTGGTCAATCCCTCTATTGCCCGGTTGCACGTCGACATTCCACCTCCCTGCTCAACGCACAAGGAAGATAAATAGAAGCAGCGGAAAAATGCGCAAACCCTACAAAACATCGAAAATCTTGGGGAGACCAAACGAGAATCTGTCTTCAACTCAGGTGTCCGAATGCGCACGGCTACCGTGACATGCGGCGGGCCCCTTCCGCTGGGCGCACTCGCCCCCGGCGTTCCGTCTCCGTTGGGGGGTTGGCTGACGTCACTCCTCCTCCACGCCACGTCAAGACCATGTCCAACATACCGGGGGATCGTACCGGGCGCTTTGGCGGGCCGACGCCAGAGGATTACGAGCGGGCTTCGAGCGGGTTCAAGGAAGGTTACGAGCCGGTTTCGAGAGGGTTAAGGGAGGGCTACGAGCCCCGGATTATCCCCCAGGAGGGGCCCGGTAGAACCAACCGGGGTCCGGTTCGAAACGGGCGGGGCAATAACACCGAAGAGGAGACCGAAGAGGACGACACGCCGCCCGCCGCGGGCGGCCAATCAGGGGGCTACACGTGGCAGCAGACGCCCGCGGAGGTGCGCGACGTGCTCGCCGCTGACCTCATCAGCCGGATGGTGACGCAGGCAGCGGAGGAGTCCGACTTGGAGAGGGCTGCCGAGAGGGCGCCACGTAGGCCCCCGGAAAGAACTTCCCGCAGCGGGGGGGCCCCGCGGCGGGGCAATGCGGGGGAGGGGTTCGTGAGGAGCGCGGCCCGAGAGATTGACACGTGGGCCGTGGACAGCAAGGCGCAGAACGGCCACGTGCGCAGCTTTTCGGCGTTCAGCGTGCGAGGCCGTCAGTACGGACCCCCGGGGGATCCCCCTGAGGAGACCCCTTCGCCCCGGGAAGAAAAGCGTCCCCTTTCCAGAGACTCGTATGCGTCCCGCATCCGCGACCGGGGGATGAGTCTTGGAGGGGATCCCCCTCCCAGAGATTCGTATTCTTCTCGGGGGGTGAGTCTCGGGGGCGAGACTGAGTGGCAGGCCGAGTTGGCGAGCCTGCTGCGGCGCCACCCCAGCCGGGGAAGGGACCGGGGGATCCCCCTGGGAAGGGGTTCGTCCGTCCCGCGAGGCATGGAAGAGGAGATGAGAGCCTCAGCGAGAGCCCCCAGTGACCGGTGGCGCGACGCCTCGCGCAGCCCAATGACACGTGCGCAACAGTTGCAGGCAAGGGATAAACAAGCTCACTGTAGATACACGCGCTGCTTATTCAGATTCATATTGCGAACGAGGTTTGGTATCTAAGGTGGTCAGATAAGGGATCTGCGACCGTGGTCGTACAGTTGCTGGAGTATCCCTTTTGCTACAGTTCAGCGTCATCATTTGGCGAAGTCCGTTTTTGCAACTCTTTCCATCTTTCGAGGTTTACCATTTTCTTACCTGGACCGTATCTTCCGCCCAAATAGCAGCCGGTTAGATTCTGCTGACCTCACGAGTTACTTTTCCACACTGCTTGATTTGTCGTTTCCAAGACCAAGTCCGACCTCTCCGCTTCTTCCTCCAATCAAATCGGATCGCGTCAGTATTTATGCTTCAGAATTGAGAAGAGGTCAATACGACCCAAGTACCGTGCTCGTAGCATCTGCAACGAGGAGGCTTGCGATTGGAATTGTCAGAAACCTTTACATGACCGGCAAGAATTGCGTAACGCTCGTGACAAGGTTTGTTTGATGAGAGGAGTTTCACTGAAGACAGTCGGACCGACCTCATTTCTTTGACCCCATCGCAGAACTTTCAAACTCCTGCACAATTTCGCTGAACCGCACTTAACACGTATAATTCCATGCTGGCTGAACGTCTCTTATTTGGCCTTTCACGATGCAGGCGTTGGTGGATGCGCAGCGGGGGGAGACGGACGAACTGCTCTCGAATCTCAACAGCCCTTCCCCGCGGGTCCTATCCCGATTCGCAAGCCCCCGACGGATGACGTCAGCCGACTCCCCAATCCGACGGGTGATGTCAGCCGACTCTCCGACCGGAATCGTCTCACAGGCGCGGGACGCGTTCAGCCGGGCGCGAACTTGCCGCAGCTTTTCCGGGGAGGAAATGTCCCGGAATATTGTCCCCTCTGAACGGAAAAAGAACGATTCCGGAGATTCGGAGGCAGAGAGATATGCTGCCAAGGAAAAGCAAACGGAGAACGGAACGGACAGGGACAACGGAACGGGCAGAGAGTATTTGAATGAGGACGGAAACGGTGCAAACCGGAAACCGAAAGTGGTTGCGAAGCGGCCGGACTTGAAGGTGGAGATTCCGATGAGTCAGAGGTTGAGCGAGTTTGCGGCGTTTCAGACCGATACGGTCGCGGGTCTTCGGCGGCACCGACGCAACGATTCCGCCGTTTCTGAGATCCTACCCCCCCGGGGCGCAAAAGATCATCCCCCGAGTTCTGATTTCGAACCGAGTAAAGACGAGAAAGAAAGCAAGCGGGACGAAGAACTGGTGAAACGGCCAACCGAGGAGATGCGCCGAACCCGGAGAACGGCAGCGAAGTCGGTGGACTCAGTTCTACTTTCTCGGGGGGGTCCAACCGAGCCCATTCCCGAGCCTCCGACACCCCCCCCCGAGGGCCAGCTCGAGCCCGGGGTATTGTACACCCTTTTGCACAGCCCGGTTCCCCAAGCCGCGGAATTGCAGAAAAAGGTCGCGGCGATCTGTGAAGAGGAGGGCGTGGAGCTTCTCTGGACCCCAGTCGGCGATGACGTCACCCCGATGTCCGTACGGCACGGGGCTGACGTCAGGAGCGACGTCGAGGAGAGCCCCGTGGAGTCGCCGCAGGGGGGCGACGCTGTGGGTGCGTCTAAGAGCCCAACGGTCGCCGAAAAGGGCCGCAAACTCTCCCCCCTCCCGAGCCGCGCGCCCACTCCCCGAGTGACACGTGTCCCGACTCTTACTGGTCCACGTGGCGCGATCGCGTCCGCCGAGCAGAAGATCGCCGCGCTGTTTCAGGGGGTCGCTTCGACCACTGCGCGCTTCCCCTCGCAGTTTCTTTGGTACTTAGAGGAAGGGTTCGGGGGTAGGGAGCGGCTGGATTTGCTCAGGGGAAAACACGGGGTGGAGTTTACGATTTCCCTACCCAGTGATAGCCTGACGGTGTGGCTCGGAGGGGGGGGGGTGCACCGGAAAGTGATGGCGTACCTGAGGGAATTGGCGGGGGCGATGGGGGCGCCAGCGCAGTTGGCGCAGATTATGGAGGAGCCAGGGGGGGAGGAAAACGAGAAGGGGTGGGGGCCGACAGTGGTCGAGACGAACAAGACCGCTCTGGAACGGTAAGACTCTGCTCGAAGACCTGATAGAGGTTTCGTTCAAAAATATGAAGTACTTTGACATTGATGGAGGCGAGATGAGAAGCTTTTAACAATTGGTCCTGACTCGCACTTTTCTTCAACAGAATATTTGTCATTGAATGAGACGAACGAGACTGCGCTGGAGCGGTGAGACCGGGCGTCGATTTGTGCCCTTTGTTCGAAGCAGATTAGTGGACATTTGGTGTAGATGATGTTTCCTACGATGTGATATGTGGGGGTGAGAATCGGGTGAGATCTCTCGCTTCAATGAAATTTCCTAAAGATGACTTTGATGAAACGGAAAACCTTTCAATAGAGCCCATGAAGGAAAGGCTCCGGGCGGTTGCCTTCACTTGTGGTCAGCGTTGTAGTTCGATTACAAACACATACAGTCGTGCTACCCGTCAGAAAAGGCGTCATTGAGGTTGCGACAGAAGCCCATAAACTGCTCTGGAAAGTTTCTGACGTCGACATTCTCGGAAATTGCTTTTTCTTACGCCTGACTCTCTGTCTTCCAGCGTGCTACCGCCGCACTGGAAGAAGGAGGGTCTTTCTTCCGGCAAGTGGCACCTTGTGGCCGTTCCGGAGGACAGCCCGGAATGGGCGGAATGCATCAAGAAGCTGCGAGGTGAGTAAGATCCCACGTGGCGACTGCTGGTTGGGTAGTTTGCAATCAACATCGCGGCGCTGACTTCGAATAATTGGACGATACTACCCCGTTTAAGCGCAGCCTTATACAATTTTCTAAACCCTTTTCGCATCGACTCTTGCACAAGTTTTTGGAAACTAGTAATCCGGACATAATCTAGATTGAGCCGTTTCTGAGATGGAGCCGTTCTTTACAAGTGCAGCCAGTGAGGCTCCAACCCCGCTTTACTCCGCCCCTACAATCAGGGAACTCCTTTATGCATGTTGTCAGCCAGAAGGTTCTCGCACCACTACTCCGGACGCATATCACGTTCAAAATTGCTCATTGAAGCTTGCACCAAGCCCTTCGTACAGACCCCTCCCTCGTTTTTCCAGGTTCTCTTGCCCCCACTTCCGTGGTCCGCCTCCTCCGCTTCCAGAGCCCCCGCCAGTGGCAGCGCTTCACAAGCGAGCGCGAGCGCACGGAGGGGGCCAATTCACACCCCGGCAGTTCCCACTCGCTGTTTGCCACGTGTACCAAGAGCGAGGTGCAGGCGGTGTGCTCCGGGGGCTTCGCCGCCTCGGTCGCCAATGCCGACTCGGATGACGTCATCCTCGGGAGCATGTTCACATCGGAGGCCTGGCAGGTGTGTTAACCTTCTATAGGAAGCAGTTGCGTGGGCTTTTCCCGAAATGGCCATTTCACGATCGCAGAGTTCTTTGGCTTGAGCAGATGCGGAGTTGGTTCCTTACTCGATCTTGGGGCGTGACTGGAGTCGTTTTGGCCATGTCTTGGTTTGGATATTGCAAGGCCTCTTGAGATTTCGAAGAGCTCGTCTTGTCTCCTTGCGGGTTTGATCGTACCGGGCCCAGCTTGTCACTGACTTGATCGGAGTTTGTAGGCGGCGCGGCACGCTCACAGGTATTTGAAATTCTAGAAATCTCTGCACATGCAATGGTTCAAAAAGTTTGTCTAGAGAGAAGATGGAAAGGACCGCACAACCCACCTCAAAAGCAAGCGTCAGAGAAAGTAGAAATGGACGGCCAATCTTGGCCCACTTCAGCCAAATGGATTCTTGTTTCCCTTGAGCTCTCAAAGTTCGTGTAGTAGTTTCTGGCATATCTCAAGAGGTATTTCTTCGATTCGAGTTTCACTGTCACTCAGTAACTGCAAGCTGTGGAAAGCTATGTCGAAAGTCAGTCCCTCCACGCAGTCGCCAAGTGATTGAACACAGGCCGAAATACTGTCCTTCAACACGTGTACATTGGTGGGTTTGCCACGCAGGCACTGCAGTTCGCGCCACGTACGAGCGACGGGCTGCGCATTCTCGTGATGGTCGAGGCTGCTCTTGGGGGGGCATGGCTGGAGCGAAACCTGACCCTACTCACGGAGAAAGTGGACGGAGGGGGAGACTTCGATGCGATCGTCGACAGTCTGACGAATCCACAGGTAAGACTTGGGCCCGCGAAAAGCACGAAAATGCTCAGACTCGCTGTCTCGGAAACCGCGAAGGTCTGACTTGCTGCAAATTTAGATTCCCAGAATGCTAAATACCAGGATTTCGTGGCGAGACAGATACGAAGGGCAATGATCGTTACGTGTTGAGTCTCTGCCGGCAGCCCCATTGCCTTGAAGCCTTACCTATTCATTCGCTACCTTTGAGATTCAATACACTGCTTGATACTGAGAAGCAACAGTCGACCGCCAACGTAACAGGAGGAGCGCCGCATAAATCCCGCTCAGCCAAAGCGGGATTCTAAAATCGCACAGCCGTCCGATGCTTATTCAAAGGCTTCGATGCATCGGCTACACTGAGAGTAATTCCACATCGTCCATACCAAATTCATCGAACGGATTAGATTTGTGGCCGGCCACACTTTGTGCATGCTTGCTGGCGTCGACCAGCTCTGCACCTTTTGTGCAACTTGGAGCGTCCGATCCGTTTTTCATCGGACGGCCTTGCGATTTTAGAAGCCCCGTATATTACGCGGCGCACCTCCTGGTAAGCCGCTGTATCGCCACTCCTTGTGAAGCCTTTTGACAACTCTTCTGAAACCTTCACCAAACCCGTTGTGGCTAACGTTTTCTAACCCACTTCTTAACCCCCGTTTTTGCCATCGCCCGCAAGCAGCATACCTATCCCGCATACGTCCTGGAGGTAGCGTCGGACCCCCGCGCCGACACTTTCTGAAACCTTCACCGAAACCGTGGCTGACGCTTTCTAACCCACCTCTTAACCCAGGTTTTTGCCATCGCCCGCAAGCAGCAGGCCTACCCCGCATACGTCCTGGAAGTGGCGCCAGATCCTCAAGCCGACGGGCCGGACGTCCATACGAGCTTCACGCTGCTGGAAGAGCCGTCCGCGCCGTCCGATGATGCATCTCCGAAACCCGACGACGTGGCAGAGCCTCCAGAAAAGCCGGCGGAAAAGCCGGCGCCAGCGTGTTGCGTCATACTGTGAGGGTTTAGACGCTCGGACGGGTTTTGAAGTGGAGGAGCTCTGCACAGCGTCCAAAAGTGGTTCGGATGAAACGCATGATGACAAGTAAGTCGCAACGAGCTAGTGCAGGCTTCTCCTAGTATTACCATCAAAGGCGCGATAGCAGACGAGACCGCATGCCGTGGTAGACACTACATATAAAGCTCAGCGTCGGATGGTACAGTATTGTTATGACGTATTTAAGTGTACCACTCTCCGATAGTAAGGCAGCAAATACCGGGTCCCGTTGCGTTGGGTAAGGAGTCGGGACATGTGGGAAGCTGAAGTTAGTGGACCGGAAGGTTTCAATCGATCCATGGAGGAAGAGGACTCGGGACGTTCGGAAAGCTCATCGTAAACCCCCAAAAGTATGTGCTACATATAGAAGTCAAGACTCAAGCGTCGAGCTAGGTCGTATGTTGTTTGACGGCACCCAGGCAACTTGATGAATTACAGTGCTTTTAATTTTCAAGAGCGGCTTGCTAATCATCGACACGTACCGTACGTGTTGCTAGCAAACTTGATTAAAAGATTGAGCATGTATGTGGCGTGACAGGCCCGACGTAGCAGTTCTTAACGGCCTGGCCAGGCCGCGCCTGCTTGCCGCCGCTCGGTGATCAATAGCTTATATCGACCGATCATGATATCTTCCTGACCAATATCCGGTTTGGGCAGCCGCATATCATTGTCTTCATGATCTTACTCTGATTGCCGCCAATTAGTTTCTAACCGAAGCCTTTTGATGCATCAGTGGCCGCCGCATAATCCCATGCCCCCGGGTGGCGCATGCCAGATCTGCGTCCGATCGCGATTGATCACTTTAAATTGCTTGATGCATCAAACCAGACGCATCCGAAGCAAATGTTCCCGCTCGGTCTTGTCATCCTACGATCCAATGAGTTTCGGAACAACTGCCTGAGATACTAGCTCTACTATCATCTGCTACCTTATCTTCCGAGACCACACAGACCGTCACCCCATCGGCGTCCAAGCTGGCAGGAATACCATTGGCCCAGCCTTCAAGGTCATGCGCAAGAGTGTAGGTGCATACATCAAGTCCTGCCAGGAGAGTTGGGCTAGCTGAGCTAGAGTGTCAAAGGTTGATATAGGAAGGATAGTTAGATAGTTAGCATCTCAGTACCATTGTTCGAACTCGGTCGGATCGTGTGTTGACACTCTTCGGGCCCATGGCGCAAGCTACGGTCCTTATAATAGAAGTATGAATGGATGAATCACAGTTCGATCTTAACGGTCAGGATATCCAATCAGTATGCATGCATGTAAGTATAGTCGCGCGTCGATCTGCATGAACGTCCAGCTGAGCACATAATCAGCTAGCTTGCAGTTAAAATCAGTATCGCGGCTGTACGTCCCGGCGCGATCGGCCGGCATATCAAGGGGCAATGTGCGTGTCTGAGATTTCGCATGCGTGTTGCATGCGTGTCTGAGAGTTCACAATAGATTCCTACATGCATATGATACAAACGTACACCTAGCCTGATCGCGACATGACGTGTTGAGTCTGCGTAAGAGCATATATTGATCGCGAGTATGCCAGAAGTATATGGCCGTATCGGGGATCCATGATGATGGTCACTTCTTTTTATGCGTACGTAGTATACGCGCTTAGGCACCTGGGCCCATGGCGCAGAAAGTCGGAAGCAATTTCGGAGTTCGGGCTTCATCAAAAAATGTTTCTATACTAGTTACCAAGCATGGTTACTAACAACAAAGCAACATGACTAAGATGACATGCTGCCTCATCCATCATGTCTCGATTTGCTGATTGACCGGACGAATACCAATATGTCAGACCGTACCATGATGCCACTGCTCAGCGAAACTTGGGATACACTTTCATTTATTCGATTCTTTGCGATGTCGAATATCTAGGATATGTACCGCACCGGAACAATACATGATTCCGAATGGTCGAAAATTCTGATTATATCATCTAATACGACCTCTTTTGCCAAATCAAGTTGACGAGTTATTTAACGAATCCGACCATGATTCCGCCCTGAAAGCGCTCCCGAGCACTTTTCTGCCCGACGAAAGATTCTACAAGAGTGACCGGTGGACATTTTTGAATTCCGAAGGCAATCCAACAGTTATTTAATAAGTTTGAAAAATCACTTTCCGAACCAAAAACAGGTAATGTAGCTTTCCGAGGGGCAAATATTCATTTATTTTCCGTTCCGGTACGGTATGTATATTTCAATAAAGCACAATTCGCCAGTGGTCGGATGCGCAGCTCCACAAGATGCAACGGGCGACTGAGAAAAGCACTGCTTCTTCATGACGCGTTTGATCTGTACGGATAAGCCATATGAGGTTCCAGTGCAGCTGCCTGATGCGTTCTCGACCCTCGGCGGCTCCTAGCGTCCAATCGCGATGATTAATAGGGTTCAATCGTAACATCCGTGCATGCATCCTGAGACCCGCGGGCCGCTCAGTCAAGTAGGAGGCGACAAATAACCGTCAGCGAGCGCGCACTACTGACGTCTGTCACCGGACCACAATACCTTCTGACGCTGACTACTCCAGCCCCGGTTCCAGACGGGGGTCTAGCTAACACGACGTCGACACATGCTTTGCGATCAACTTGTGGCCGTCTGCTTTAGTCTTCACACGCCAAGGCGTCATTCGAGCTGCAAATATACGAAGAAAACAGTGCGGAGTGGTCATGCGCGTGCGGTAGCATGCCAAAAGTACTCTTCATGAGGTGTTAAACTGACAGGAAAAAAGACTTGGCTACCTTCGGATCTCCGTGAAACAACAGCGGCGTTCCAACATGCTTGCGCAAGGAATGCGCCGTTGCTATGCAGCCAATAGATTTGGAGAAAAATGACATAACAAGAAACAAAACCACAGGACATGTGCCAAGCAAAATGACACAATGGAATGAAGGAGCGTACCTTTTTTGGGCAGTACAAACCAAGCAACTTCTTCTTGTCTTCGACGTAGAGGAGAGCCATATACTGCCGGGGGAGTTCGACCATTACGCCCTGCGGACATGCAATCGTTTAGTTCAGCCGCTTCCCCTCTAGTCCCTTTTGGAATTCTTTGTTTGTGATAATCACTATCGCGTATGTCTGCTGCTCTCTTTCCCGCTGCTTGACACTCCGCGTTCCAACAAAGCCTCAAAGTGCTGGCCCGCGCCTGTTGTGCTGACTTAGATATTGAAATCGTGTTGCAAACATGGTTGCTCCGCACTACGATTGAGCAGCGAGGGTGAAGCGGCGTGGCAAAAGTGCTTGTCCGGAATGAAGTGCTGGTCAAACGAGCTTCATATAGTTTACGAAAGTAGTCTTCTGCCTGAACCGACTCTTCGAAACACGAAGGACAAAAGTTTGACCGACCATGTGCTGAGCGGCAGACTTGACACAGGAGGGGTCAGATCCGGCCTCAGATTTGGGCTAGACCTTCTTAAGCGCTTTATTACTGAAGTAACTGGGTTCAATGGTGCTCAATGGCTTCTGATCAGAATACTTGCGAGCAGCAATCTAAGCTTACCATCTGTTGGGCGGAGAGCTTCGACTGATCCAGCCTCGAAAGCCAGCTGAAGCTTGCCTAAGCGCTCTCAATCGCTTTCGGCCCTCACTCAACTGAATCAACGGCACCTGAGTGGCTTCAAACGGTGCTCAGGTGGCTTCAACTCAATGTTACTACAAGGAAGACACATGAGCTCACCATTTGCTGGGCGGCGAGCTTCGACAGGCCGGGGTGCATCGGCTTGCCCGGTTTGAAGATGATGCTCTCAATGGCGTTCTGGAACGGCAACGAAGCCCTGAATCACCCGCCAGCAACAATTCGGGTTAGCAGTGGGTTACTCTCCTGCTTTATCATATACTGACTCTCATTGTTTAACACGGCCCCAATCTTGAGATTGTTAAGCTCAGAACGTTGACGATGCTCCTAGGAGAGTGCAGCAACCTCCGAACAAGTCAGGTTTACTAACCCTTTGCGCTGCACGTGATCCGTTAAATTAGATAGGGCACTCCCAACTGCTCGATAGAGGACACTAAAAACCTACTTTCCCACTTTTCGATGCCCGAAATATACCCTCCAGTGCTACCCAAAACATTCGTGCAGCCCGTTCAACCCAGAATAGGACAACTGAAAGGTTTGGCGCGAAGTGATGTGAACAAGATAAGCAGAAAGAAGCACCGCTCACCGCGCGTCTGCTTGCTTGACCAGCTTTGCACCCACGAGCTTGGGTGGCCAGTCGCGGGTTAGCCCGTGAACCATTTTGTTTTCTAGCAGAAACGCCTGCAGGCGAGCAAACCCTCGTTAACCCAGGTCGGAGATCGTACGGTTAGGCACCTTCCGAGTGGGCAGTCTACCAAATGCTGGCATGGATGGACTCTGTAGGGCCCTTAGTATCGCGTATGGTGAAAATACTGAATTCATGTCCTGTCAAATGGACAAAAAGATTCCATAACATCTACGAGGTAAGTAGTTCTGCGAGCAACTTTCTACATGCATTGGGGCCATGTGCTGTCTCGACAATGTAACGTCAAGACCTACATTTCTGAAGCTCCCATTGCCGTTCAGACGTAATGCTCTTTCCCTTTCAATACATGGATGGAAGGAACCCGTACACACCTGTGTACGATGTTTCACAATGTCAATGTTCAACACTCACTCCAGACTCCTGCGAACCAAAGCCCGGAAACAACCACAACAATCTTTCAAGACTCACCTCCAAAGGGCACATCGGCACTTCCTTCCCTTGCAACGAAAACACTAGCTGCCCCGCCCAAACCCTGACCATCTGTTGCGACCCCCCCTCCTCCCCAGACTGCCGCTGCGAATCCTGGGGGGAGCCCTGCTGGGCCGCAAGACCCCCCCGAAGCGCGGCCGGCGCCGTGTGATGCCGCCTGTGTGCTTCTGGGGGGGGGTTTAGCTGGGCCGCAGGGGGGGTCGTGTGCCTCCGCAGAGGCGGGGGCGCGGGATTGCTCCCGAGTATTTCTAAGCTTTCGGCGCTTCCTGAAGACGCCATCGGCTTTTGGGGGAGTGCACTCCCTTGCTGCGGGTTTTGAGGGGGGGGTGGGTTTCGGTGCCATGCTGCCCCCCCGTTTTGGGAGGCCTGCTGGCCCTGCTGGTTCATGGTAGCTTGGTTATTTTCTGGGGGGGCGCGATTTGAGGACCAGCTACTGGCGAGGGGGGTAGCGGGTAACCCCTGGCTGGAAGAACTAGGGGCGGCTGAAGGTATGGATAAGTGGAGGGGGGGAGAGGGCATGTGGGGGACTATGGTTGGGGGAGGAGTGTCGTGAGGTCGCAGGGCTCGTCGAGCTGCAAAACGGCAGTGAATTTCAATTAACAGAGTCCAACTAGGGGGTTTTGATGACGGCGTCAGGCTGGAAAACGTCCACTTTCTGAGGCGTCCGGAGGATCCAAGAACAGAGATGTGGCAGCTGATTGTGGTGTATCGCACTCAAGCAATTGAAATCGGGATAGGAATAGTAGAGTTGGATCGTCTGTAGAAGCCGGGTATACTCGCTCAATCTCATTTGGGCCCGTTTACATCCGTGACGAGTCATCGTGTTGGCTTCGCTTGACAGGAGTGTGCGCAGTTGACCATTTATTGCATCCGTTGCGCGCCAGGTCAGGGCAGATTCAGACATAAATATCTGCCCCATGGAACTGTATGGAACTCGTTGGGGAAAGAGCACAAAGACACAGAAAAGCCCGACACGATTTTCCCAGAATTACCAGTCTCACCTGACACGAACCGCTCCGAAATGAGCACCATATGGTGCGGAAACTTTTTCGACATCCCCTCAAACACGTCCCTCACCCCCCCGGGCTGCTCCATCGCCATCTGAAACAGCGCCGCGTACGGGCCCGACACTTGCGGGACGTTTTTCGGCCCAACCAGGGGGGACGAAATGACTGAGAGCGATACCCCACAGCGCGGAAAGGCGCTCGCGACATTGTGTGCGTCGGCGAGCCAGCAGGGGGTGTTGGTTGCCCCGTGTTGAGACCCCAGGGAAGAAGGGGGGCAGCGAAGGGCGGAGGGGAACTTGTGGGGCTGGGTGGTGCCAATTAAGAGGCAATGGCGGCTGTGGGGGCTAGACATCGGGAGGTCTTTGCACATCTGCGGGGAGGGAAGTGACTAAGTTTAGTCGTACATGGCATCTGATGGCTGAATACGCGAACAGCCAAAACTAAAGGAATCTTGGTTGCTGCTGCAAACATGAATCTCAGACACTCCAATCCTAGAAGTCTTGCCTGCTCATAAATGAGGAGAGGAAAGATTTGTACACGGCAGTATGAGTCGCTTGAAAGAATGCACCCAGAGTTCTGATCAAATTGGGACGGATTTGTGCTTGCCACATGGTAGTGGTGCAATCAGCTCATATGGGAAGTCTTGGCCAAATGGAAGGTTTCAAAGGAACACCCTTGGTGAGCAGACAATCAAGTGTCGACTGTGGGGGCTGGACACCTGTAGAAATCTGCACATCTTGGGGCAAGTGGAGAAATATAGAGAATCAAGATAAGTGGAAAGCTTGACGAAGTGTGGGGTTGAGACAGAACCCGGTCAGTGTTTCCAAGAAAACAGTGGCAACTGTGGGGGCTTGAGAATGGAAGGCCATTGCCCACTTGTGGGGAGGGGTATAGGATACATGCAATCAGCCTAGAAAGTTGAGTGGAGTGGACATCCTAACAATATGTGGGGTTTTGTGAAAAGTAGCCTTGGGGAAGAAGCAGGCTATGGGCTTTGACATGAAGAGGGCTTGCACATCTGAGAAAGATGGATAACTCTAGATAGAGGCCTATTGATGAGAACAAACATTAAACTCTTGGCACAACTGGTGTTGAGGACTCACATGTTGAATTCTGTTCACAGCACTCTCATGAAAGATTGAAGAAGACTGATAAAAGTTGGAACTGAAGGGGCATGTCCGAAGACGCTGCTGAATGAAGAATGAATTTGACTGTCAGCGAGCTAGTCATTGCAAACCAGAATAAAGCAGAGAATATAACAAGCTAGTGGCGAAGAGCTCACCGCAAGCCCCTCAGCGAGTCCCTCAGCAACAGCCGCCTCCGCGCACCCCCCCCCACAAAAGTCAATCCTGCTCAACCACCCGCCAAACTCCTCAACATTGTTCGTCCAGCCAGTCTGCTGCAGGAGACAACTGCTCTGGAACGAGAGCGTATAGAAAACAACTAGAGCGTACTCGGGGCTTTCTGTGAGGCCCTGAGTGTCTGAAGCCAAGCCTGCAATAATTGGGTCTATGTATTCTGAGCGAATGGCGGGCCAGTAGGGGAGCATCACCAGATTGCCCTCCACCACCAGCACCAGCTGATGGGGGGCCATAGAGAAGAAGAGCTGACGCGCAGAGGGGGAAGAAGGACTCCAGGGCGATCTCCTCTGAGCTGGCCCAATGCGACCAGCAAATGGCTTTACATTTGATGGTTAGCAGCGGCCTGCAGGACACTGCAGGGAGCTTTCAGCCTTTAGCCTGAAGGCTGAAGTTTAGGGCATCATGTGCAGATGCCAGAAGCCTGATCAAGAGAACCCAAGCCCTAAAAGTTAAACCCTAATTTTAAACGCCATATGAAAGGAGGACAGGTTTCCTAAAACCCCCGAAACGTGAGCCGGCGAGACGCGCGCCGCGCGGCCGCGAAGTCCGAGCCGCCGGCGCGGCCGGCCGGCCTGTATCATAGTATAGGCCGGCGGCGCCCATTGAACCGCGGCCGCGTGGCTCGTGAACTTGGTAGGCCGGCCAGCGCGGGGCCAGCGCTTTGTTCAGTTCGTGTGGGGGCGCCTTCCACAAACCATCAGGTAAGAACAGCCTCCCGTTTTCCAACTTATTAGTGCGTTCATATATGTGCTGAATCCAGTGCTGAAAGCTAACGATGTCAGGTTGGCAGGGAACGCCACCTAATCCTGAGTTCATTAGGTTCTTGATCTCATGAACGAAGTGAGCTTCTCATAGTAAAGACTGGACATGGAGGTACTTTGTCGCTTCGAGGCTTTGTCTGGTCCTTTGGTGTTTTCTGTCCTGGCAATATTAGCACGACAACCCGCGCCATTATGTTAGGCCGACACGGTCGCCGGGCAAATTATCAAAAACAGAGAGGTCTGACCAGGGCTTATAGTGTATGCGGGGAATTGCGGCATTTCTACAGAGTGCGGAAGCAACACGTTTTTTTCAGCTAAAGCTAGCTGTTTTCCCGGTTGTCAACAATGGGTACAAGATTAATAGGCGACTTGCCTGTTGTGACTTTCTCGATGAACCAAGGGGCATGTTCCAATAAGAGGCTCGAGTATGTTCAAGCCAGGCTCTTGCTTGAAAGCGCTTCTTTTCTGACTTCTTCAACAAAACAACACAGTTTAGGTGCGTTCTATGGAGACCTGGAGTTTGGCTTTTGTAATCTGGTATTGAACAACTGGCAGCCTGCTCTAGCAGACTGTCTCTCTTCACCAATCGGAGTACTCGCTATGCAGGTGTTTGTGGAGCCCTGCTGTTTTGACAAGGTCGCACCGTGCCTGCTCCGAGCTCCATTCATTGTGCCACATCAGCCATGGTTGGTAAAAGCTGAACTCGAGGCTCCTTTAACCAAAACTTTACTTAGCTGAAGATTTTGTATACTGTTTGCCACCCTGCAGCCTCTTGAATTTCCTTATGATGAAACGGTGAAATGTTTGGGCTTCGGATGACCAGCTTTGCGAGCGGGAATATGAGCCCACGAGAAGAGAGAGAGTGCGTTCGTTCTTTCTCCTGCCTTCTTGTTGCGGGCAGTATTTTTCCTACTGCTGCGTAGACGTCAACCAGTTGCAGAATTACTGCCCGCAGTTGAGAGTAACTTCGGATTGAGGGAGCGACGATGACTTCGATAACTCTCGTGTGACCTAAGAGCCGTGTGACCTAAGATAGGCACCCGGGGGACGGGTGGGGTTGGTATGGTGGTTAGGGTGGGTTGGGCTGCGGAGCGGGTGATATTTGCATTAGGTCTTTTAGGTTAAGTGCCCGGGTAACACGTATCTTAGTCAAACGCCCGTTAGGTCACACGAGAGGTACTGGTATGCGACGATGACCTACAGTGCCAGTCAGCAGCCCTCCTCCGATCAAAGTCTTCGTCACGGACGCAACTAAAGGTCCGAATACACTGCTTGTCCGCAGACTTCCGAAGCAGGTTCCAGCATGCCTGGGCCCGTCGCTGACGCCGACACAGAGGCAAAGCACCTCGCCAGCCAGTTTATCGCGGAGGGGTATAGACACGATGACGTGGCCGAGGCGACTGCGAAAGGGGGTTTGACTGCCGGCTATGCGGCGTATCTCGACAAGTACAAAGACACGCGTCTTACCGCCCGAAAGAAGGACGGAGTGAGCGTCCGCAGGTCTGATTGGGCAAAAGCGCCTGACTCAGAGGTGAGCGTGAAATTTGTCTGGCAACTCTCAGTGTGTGTATATGAATCAAGAAAAGCGCCCGGGAGACGGGGGGTTTAGTTTGGTGGTTAGGGTGGGTTTTCGTGCGGAGCGCATGATCTTAATTTCAGGTCCGCTCGGTCTTGATTCAAACGCCCGTGGTTCATGCGAAAGTTGCAAGTATTAAAAATCTCTTTCCTACCCTTTCGCTGAGTAGCTAGGATGACATGTATATCCGACCGTCTAGCAACGGGCGCAGAACACTCCCCGCGGCGGAAAGAAAGGATCACAAGAACGCGGCAGGTTGACCACCGTACTTCGAAACAATCAAGACGTTATAGCGAAAAAGTAGGGCGTGAAAGCTCAACGTCAAGAACCCACTTACTCTTGTCGACTCGGATCCTTAACAGACTTAAAGCACTTTGGCTAAAAGGCAGGAGCCAAACTTCAAGCATTTGATTCTGGTGGCTCACCATATATTGAAACGGTTTCAATCCTGGGCGACTTGTTGAATCCTTGTGTTGCTTCCGGCCCTTCGACCGCATTGGGTCAGTCGCATTTTCACTGCCTTTGTCGGCGATTTTGCCCTGTGCTTAATATCTACTCAGAACACATTGCAGAAAGATGCTGAGAGTCAGCCTGCGAATCAGGCTACCATCCTTTTCGCAGGAGTACAAGCGACGGCAGGCGAGCTTTGGTGAAAGCTACCTGGCACATCTTAGGCGAGCACACCAGTCACCTTGCAATGTAAGTACTCAGGCCCAGCAGTTGGTCAAGTGACTGCTTTGCTCCTTGTATTAGAGAGCTGCCGCTAGCAGGAACACGGGACCAGCAATGTGACGAAGTCATTTTTCAACAAGTGAGCTGGCGGTCTTTTGACGAAGCGTTAATATAGCAAAAGAAGCTCTAGCAAAAGTACGCTGACCAGCCTGCTGGGGACGGGTGGGGTTAGCTTGGGGGTTTAGGGTGGATACGGGTGGGTTTGGTTTTCAGTGTAAGTGTAGGAGCAAATTTTGATCGAGCTGACTTTTGCTAATGTCACGATGTAT